ACTTTCAGCCAGAGTGACAGGGACAACTGGACAATCAGTTAAAGTGACAGTGAGTGGACCATCTGGAGTCACAGGTTCAATTGGATTCACAGCTGGAGTGACAGGAACAACAGGGCTTTCAGCTGGAGTGACAGGGATCACTGGACAATCAACGACAGTGGCAGGGACCAGTGCACCGTCTGCTGGAGTGACAGGTTCAAGTGGACCATCAGCTAGAGTGACAGGGACAACTGGACTATCAGGTAGAGTGACAGCAGCAAGTGGACAATCAATTGAAGTTGCAGGTACCAGTGGACCATCTGGTCCTGTTACAGGTTCAAGTGGACCATTTTCTCAAGTGACCGGTTCAAGTGGACCATTAGCTGGAGTGACAGGGACAACTGGACTCTCAGCTGGTGTGACAGGGACAAATGAAACATTTTATGGAGTGACAGGTTCACGGGAAGCATCAGCTTCAGTGACAGGAAAAACAGGGCTTTCAACTGCAGTGACAGGGATCACTGGACAGTCAGTGAAAGTGGCATGGACCACTGGACCATATGCTGGAGTGACAGGTTCAACTGGACCATTATCTGCAGTGACAGGTTCAAGTGATCCTTCAGCTGGAGTAACACGGACAACTGGACTCTCAGCTGCAGTGAGAGGGACAACTGGAACATTTTCTGGAGTGACAGGTTCAACTGGATTCACAGCTGAAATGACAAGAACAACAGGGCTTTCAGCTAGAGTGACAGGCATCACTGGACAATCAGTGAAAGTGGCAGGGACCAATAGACCATCTGCTGGAGTTACACGTTCAACTAGACTCTCAGCTGGAGTGGTAGAGTCTACTGAACAGTCAGTTAAAGAGGCAGGCACTAGTGGACCTTCTGCTGGAGAGACAGGTTCAAATGGATTGACAACTGGAGTGACAGGGACAAGGGGGCTCTCAGCTAGAGTCACAGGGATCACTGCACAATCAGTGAAAGTAGCAGGGACCAGTGGATCATCTGCCCTAGTTACTGATTCCACTGGAATCTCAGCTGCAGTGACAGGTTCAACTGGACCATTTTCTGGAGTCACGGGTTCAAGTAGACCATCAGCTGGATTGACAGGGACAACTGGGCTCTCAGCTGGAGGGACAGGGACAACTGGACTATCACCTGGAGTGATAAGAACAACTGTACTTTCCGCCAGTGTGATAGGGACCAGTGGACCATCTGTAGTGACAAGTTCAACTGGATTGACAGCTGGAGTGACCGGAACAACAGGGCTTTCAGCTGGAGTGACAGGGATCACTGGACAGTCAGTGAAAGTGGCAGGGACCAGTGGACCATCTGCTGGAGTGACAGGTTCAACTGGACCATTATCTGCAGTGACAGGCTCAAGTGGACCATCAGCTAGAGTGACAGGGACAACCCGACTCTCGGCTGGAGAGACAGGGACAACCGGACTATCAGCTGGAGTGACAGGAACAACTGTACTTTCGGCCAGAGGGATAGGGACCACTGGACAATCAGTTAAAGTGACAGGGACCAGTGAACCATCTGGAGTGACCGGTTCAACTGGATTCACAGCTGGAGTGACAGGAACAACAGGGCTTTCAGCCGGAGTGACAGGGATCACTGGACAATCAGCGACAGTGGCAGGGACCAGTGGACCATCTGCGGGAGTTACAGATTCAACTGGACTCTCAGCTGCAGTTATAGGTTCAACTGGACCATTTTCTGGAGTGACCGTTTCAAGTGGACCATCAGCTAGAGTGACAGGGACAACTGGACTATCAGGTGGAGTGACAGGAATAACTGGACTTTCAGCTAGAGTGATAGGCACAACTGGACAATCAGTGAAAGTGGCAGGGACCAGTGGACTATCTGCTGGAGTGACAGGTTCAACTCAGTCATCAGCTGGAGTGACAGGGACAACTGAACTCTCAGCTGGAGTGACAGGAAAAACTGGACAAACAGCTGGAGTGACAGAGATAACTGGACCATCATCTGGAATATCAGGGACTCCTGGACTATCGGCTGGAGTGACAGGGACAACTGTACCATCAGCTGGACCGACAGGTTCAACTGGACTCTCAGGTGAAGTTACAGGTTCAACTGGACTATCAGCTGTAGTGACAGGGACAACCAGACAATCTTTTAAAGGGACAGGGACCAGTGGATCATCCACTGGACTCATAGGTTCAGCTAGACTATCAGCTGGAGTGACAGCAACAATTCGACCATCATCTATAGTGACAAAGATAACCGGGCCATCATCTGGAGGATCAGAGAGAACAAGACCATCTGCTAGAGTGACAGGGACAACTAGACCACCATCTGGGGTGACAGAGATATCTGATCCATCTTCTGGAGGACTGAGGACAACAGTGTCATCTGCTGGAGTGACAAGTTCAATCGGACTCTCAGCTGGAGTGACAGTGACAACTGGACAATCAGTTAACATGACAGGGACTAGTGGACCAGCTTCTGGAGTGACAAGTTCAATTGGACCACCATCTGGTGGTACAGAGATACCTGGTCCATCATCTGGAAAATCAGGAACAACTGGACTATCCACTGGCGTGACAGGTTCAACTGGACTCTCATCTGGAGTGACAGGTTCAACTGGACCATCAGCTGGAGTGACAGGGACAACTGGACCATCCACTAGATTGACAGGGAGTACTGGACCACCATCTGGAGTGACAGAGATATCTGGGCCATCTTCTGGAGAATCAGGGACAACTGTATCATTTGCTGGAGCGACAGGTTCAACTGGACCATCAATTGGAGTAACAGGTTCAACTGATGGTCCATTTGCTGGAGTGACAGGTTCAACTGGACCATCAATTGGAGTAACAGGTTCAACTGGACTATCACCTGGAGGGACAGGCACAACTGGACCATCAGCTGGAGGGACAAGTGCAATGGGACCATCAGCTGGAGTGGCATGGACAGCTGGACTCTCAGCTGGAGTGACAGAGATAACTGTGTCATCTTCTGGAGAATCAGGGACAACTGGACCATCTGCTAGAGTGACAGGTTCAACTGGAATGACAGCTGGAGTGACAGGGACAACGGGGCTCTCAGCTGAAGTGACAGGGATCACTGGACAATCAGTGAAAGTGACAGGGACCAGTGGACCATCTGCTGGAATTACAGGGACAGCTGGACTCTCAGCTGGAGTGACAGAGATAACTACACCATCATCTGGAGAATCAGAGATAACTGGACCATCAACTGGCACAACCACTGTGGCAGGAAGAACTACTGGAGACCCAGGAAGTGAATTTACAGCACATGAAGGCGAGTCTAATTACCTAAAAATAGACCATTTAATGTGGACAATCTAATGTTAGGTCAGACTCCCAGACCTGAATCTGTATAAATTTATCACAATTAAGTATGGTATTAAGAACTCAAATTGATGGATAATGATGGGACCTTTCCAGACATTATTGTTTTAAATGGATTCCTCAGATTTCTTGAGAAGTTTGTTTTCATCAGCTAATACAACCAGAGGGTCAGTGGGGACTACCATAGGTATAGGCAGGGATCACACAGCTGGAGCACCTGGCTCTGGGGCCATTACTGTTGGGAAGCAAGCAGGCAAGGCTCACCTGGGTGCTCTGCTGGTGGCCCATAAGCATTGCTGAGACCCAAATTATGAACATAAGATTAAGTAATTTAACCAAGGACATAAATTCTGGGAGAAATGATCAAGAGAGGATCTAGATTTATTAATGTCTGAATTTGAAATTCACATAAATGGCAGTGAGTTTATTTTTATTAAAATGAACCATGTAAAGATAATAATCAATTAATTCTTTAACCAGACACAACCAAAGAACCATATGGAACCACCATGGGAGCAGGTGCAAGCACAACCAGATTAACCACACCTGGAAAATCAGGCACGTGGGAAGGGGAAGTATTTGGCCCAGATTGTAGCTCACATTAAGGTTTTATCATAAATCTAATAATAGTAATGAGAGTATTATAAGTAAGAAAATCAGAGAATCAGATCCACATCATCTAATTTTTAGGACCTTATATTTTGTTCAGTGTTTTAGGACTAGAATGGAAGAATAGCAAATTGTCTTTACAATGCTAATTCTATCAAGAGATAAATGTGGGACTTGTATACACAAGGAGTGCAATGCGCACCACCCGAAGTATGGACATATTTGAAACACGGACTTTGGTGGGGGGGACCAAGGGCAACATACGTAACCTAAACATCTGTACCCCCATAATATGCTGAAATAAAAGAAAAAAAAAGAGATAAATGTTAAATGAAGAAGTTTAAAACAAGGCAAGAAAAAATATTGAGCACATATTGGGCAGCTAGGCACGGCTCTAAGTTATGTGACATGTAAATAATTTTCATAGCACCCAATGAGATAAGTACTACTTTTGCCCACATTTTCAAATGAGGAAGTCAGAGAGAAGTTTAGTCAGCAGGTGCACGTGAGGACTTAAACCAAGAAGATCTGGACTCAGATCATATTCCTTGCCTACTACAGTATCTTTTCTCTTTTGGCAGTGGTTGGAAACTAGGGCAGCAAGTAAATATATTCCTTGGAAGGGAAATCACAACAAAGCCTCAGATCCGCCAAATTCAACCACTCAAAAAAAATCAGATTAATGTAAAGGCTAACATACCAGAACTATACAGTAGCACACAGTTTGAAATTTTCTATAACAGTAGTGTCCCAATTTTATTAAATTGATTTAAACTTTATCATTTTATTAACTTTTGGTTATTTAATGATTATTATTTGCCATCTGTGTGCCAGGTACTGTGATAGTTGTGTGGGTTGAGAGGTGACAAAGTCTGACAATGTCCCTGCTCTCAGGACACGCTGTCTAGTGGGAGGATTTAGCCAGTCAAAAGAAAAAATACCTCAATGATACAATTCCAATTATGTTAAGTGCTAAGAGTAAGATGAGGGTGTTAGGAAAGTGACATTCCACTTGGTGTCCCAAAGAATGGAGAGGCACTAATCAGAGAGAGAGTAAGGCAGACAGGGAAATGGGAAGAGAGCTCTAAGAAGTGACAGGATCTGGAGAGTTTAAAGTCGAAGGAGGCCAGGCTGCCCAGTGCCCAGGTGGGAGGCTGGAGAGTGGTAGAAAACAAGCCAGAGAAGTAGGAAGGTACCTGATCACCCAGAGCCTTGAAACACAAGTTAAAGATTTTAGATTTGTTCTTAAGAGAGGCTACCAAAAGGTGTGAGACAGAAAAGTGACATGATCCATTTCACATTTTTAAAAGACCAGTAAGACTTCAATGTGAACAAGGATCGTATAAAGTGAGATTGGAGGCAGAGAGATTTGTTAGGAAGCTGTTGCTGAGTCAAGTTAAGAGCAGTGGTTTAGAATAAACTATGGTGGCAGATGGAAAGAAATGAAAAGATTCAAAACACATTTTGGGGGGAACCATGAAGAGGCTTGGTGATAGTTTGGATGAGAATTTGGTAACAGGTCATTTTTGAGCTGACAAGTTCGGTTTTTTGGATGATGGTACTACCACTTATTGAAATAGGGAATATTAAAAGAGCAGCAGTTTGTGGTAGGACATTACAGGTTCAGGCATGAATAAGTTGAATTTGAGATGTTAGGGAGAAGTCCAAATGAAAATAACCCATGATGTTATTAAGATTCTTTTTCATTTTTTTTTAAATTCAGCTGCAACTGGAGTACCTTCTGCAGTTTCCACAGGAGTCAGAGGTGAAAGCACAGCTTTCGCATCAGGTACTGGAACTACAGCAACTGGACTCAAAGCAGTTATGTTGATTAATATCTGAATGTTAATGGTAAAATAAGAACACTGCTCATGACTTTCCGTGTTTTAATTTTAGGTTCCAAGGGAACCATTCCTGGCTCAATAATTGCACCAGGAAGTACCACTACAGGTAAGTAAGCAGGGGGATGCCAGATGTATTTTTGACTTGTTCTGATGCTCACTGGCTAATTAAAAATTGGAAAATAATAATAATGCCAGTTAAATAATTATAATATCCTTATATACATTATCTCAATTATTTAAATAAGTATTGTTATCTCATTTTGCTCATGAGGAACTTAGGCAAAGACATTACCTAACTGGTCTAGGTTCTACAGCAAGTCAAATAGTGGAAACATACAGATTAATTCTTGACATTAGAAAGCTCCAAGAGGGAGCTTCTTAATGTATTTAAGAAATACAAAATTTTTTAATAGGCAAGTCCCAAGTCATGACACGTTGACCACCATTTCTTTCTTATTTCAGGAACTTCTGGTGCTGTCTCGGGCAAAACCCTCCAACCCGGAAGTTATACCACAGGTAAGTTGCCACACACTAGGAAATCCTAAAGGGGGCCACTGAGGTAATCCGTAGCTCCAGCATGTTCTTACTTCACTGCTTTCATTCTTTCCCCTCTCAGAGGCCACAACTGCTATAGGGATCACCGGAGCAGGATTGTCAGGAGGTGAGTGTTGTTCATCCCGAGACTTTGGGTTCCCTTGGTTCATTATTTGGGATTGCAGCAAAGAACAGAAGAATATGAAGGGTGAGGACACATTTCCTCTGGGGACACAACACATAAGGCCAAGCCAAATCATTAATTCCCCTGGAATTATCTGTATTAGGCCCCTCAGCCAAATGTTCCTGAGTCCTGGCTCCCAGAGATAGTTCTCTGAAGACAGGGATGAGAGTGTCACTGCTTTGAAGTTCACAAAATTTCTTTTCACAGGCACCACCATTACCTCTCCTGAAGTCAGTAGCAGTTCAGGAGTGTCCAACACAGGTAACGTGACATAAATAAAATGTAAGCTGGCTCTTACTTCCATGTGAGTGTTCTGTGCATGTTGTATGTATGTGAATGTGTACGCTTTAAGGATTTCATAAAAAGACAACCACAAAAATATCCCAGGGATATTTAGAAAGAACCTTATCTTCCATTTTCCTCCCTCTGTAGTCATTCCTGGCACACCAGGGAGACATATAGCAAGAAGTGAAACAGGCATGAAATGAGCCCCCAGCCCTCTGCAATGTTGGGTGTTCATTTGCAAGGCAACCATGAATAAATGGGCCAAGGAGATGATGTGAGAGGACACTCATGATTTATCATTTGGAACAGTAAGTCCTCAGGAAAGGTTGTACATTGGTGTAGGGCCATTCACTACTGGCTTCCGGGAAGAATTGAGACATTACCAAGTTTACTTCTTCTTGCGTTAGGTATGACTGGAGTAGGCTCTGGAACAGCCATTCAAACAGAAATTTCCTACAGAGGTAGAGTTGAAAGAAAACCATCTCTAACAGGAAATGGTAATTTTTTTGCAGGGGTGTTCCGATAAAATAACACAAAATACCCCTTCCCAGTATCCCAACACTCCAGAACTTAAGGTTAATTATCTCTTCCCTCAGAGGCCACAACTCCCACAGAAGGTGTTGGCACCACTGGAGTTGGATTTAGAATAGGTGAGAATGAGCAACTCACATCTTTGTTGTTATCACTAATTATGGTTCTCATAGAAGAGGCTATAGAGAGGAAGTTTCTGGAGAGTAGTTTGTATTTATTAATAATGCATTTTTGGTCAACTAATTCTTTTTCCGTTTAGAAATTTTTCCTGAAAAGCTGCCAATTACTGAGTGCAGAATCATACCTATAACCTCTGAAGATAGAAAACTGACAGTAATTGTTTCAAGTAATTTCTGCTGTGAAATTACAAACATCACAAGCTTTTAAAGGAGAGGGGCGATAAAATTTCCTGAGAAATAGAGAGAAGCTGTGAGAACCCAGGAAACATACCTGCCCTGCATAAATGTTTTCTTATTGCAAATGAAGAGCTAAATATTTTCACACTGTCTAGAATTCTCAGCACATTCATATGTTTCTCTGCGACCACTCCACAGCAGGTACCACTCTGGCATCAGGGAACCAAGTCACAGGGACGAAAACAGGTGAGCATGGGAGAAACCCACCCCATCTCTGTGGCAGAGATAGCCAGGAAGATTATCTCAGGTTGAGAACATTGTTACTCTAATTGCCTTGGCAATAAAATGGTTAATGAGAAACTATGGAGGGCTTGTTTTCAGGGAGGAGCCAGGGAAGAGCCAGTGAGATATAAGATGGGCCTAGAGTCTATCTAGAGACAGGTCTTTGGGAAAGAAAGATTGAACACCACCGTGATCCCCGTCCTATTTGTGTTTCAGCCACCCCGGGGGCAGATCCTGGCACAACTGTTGCCACCGGCAGGTCCAGTACAGGTGAGTTCTCAGGTTGGCTGGGAAGACTTCAGGGGTCCTCCCACAATTCGATGTCTCCTCTGGTGTTATTTTTTACAAGAATAATATCCCTTTTTTTTCATAGCTTTTAAATATTTTCCAAATATCTCTTTCCCCATTTTCTCTCTCTCAGAGGCTACAACTTCCCTTGTAGAAAGTGAAACAACAAGAAATGGAATAGCCACAGGTGATCATTGCTGGATTAGTGCATTTACCTGCTGGTAATACCCAATAAAGATTGTGCCTTGAAATGTATCCGTGACACTCTTGTCTCCCATATTAGAGAAAATTTTACCATTGTTCATTGACTGAAGTTCAGAAACTCAAATTTCATTCTTATTTCCTGTGCTTTGAACAGACTGTCCTCCCACCCTGCAAGGCAATCTTGCAGCCATTAGACTGACAGTTATATAGACATCTAGAGAGAGAGCTCCTGTCTCTCTGTTCCTGAACTCTAGAGAAAAGAAGGCCCAATAAGTAAAAATACCTTTGGTAAATGTACTGTTGGAAGGATATTACAGCAGGAGTATACAGATTACAGTTTGGGATTAAAAGCCCAGTTTACTAAAAAATGGTAGATAGATTTTGTCTATTTATTTGCTTGTTATCCTCTGCCCACTTCATGGCGATGAGGTACTGACCCATGGCTACCCATCCCTTTTTTCAGACACCACTGGGGCACTTTCTGGAAAGACTCTGGGACTTGGGAATGACAAGACAGGTTAAGTCCAAAAGCACACAGGGAATGCTGCACAATGGCTGCATAGGAGATAAGTCCCTAAGCTAACATAACCCTGTACTTCCCCACGTTCCAGACTCGTCCTTGCTTTCTTTTTTCTCAGAAGCCACCAGTTCCACAAGAATAGGTGGGACCACCCCATCAGAAGCACCAGGAGCTGAACTTTGTCAGCTTGAGGCTTTGGGATTCTAATCCTTTCCCTGTTTTTTTCTTTTTGTTTGTTTGTCTTGTGCTATAGTGAACAAATAAATGAGAATGAGGGTCAAGGAAAGAGGGTTACTTCCAGTCTGGAAGGACAACATGAGTGTCTGCCCAACCTGGGTAGTTCTGCCTAAAAATTTCAGACACTGATTATCTATGTGAGGCTTTCCTCCACATCCTGTGTGACAGTGTCAGCTCTCTTTAGAACTGAGGACCACAGCCCTGAAGTGTCCTTCCAGGACCCCCAATTCACTCAGCTCTGCTCATCACGATTCTCCAAAGTACTATCCCCTCCTAACAACCACCTAATGTGTTTAGAAATTGACTGAGAAGACACAATGAGTGTCTTCTCACTGACAGAAGACTGTCAGGCACAGAGGAAATGCTTACAAAATACAAAACGAGTGACAGCAGTATTCTTATGTAGACTTGCACTCTGTTTACTTCAACAGCGACCACCACGGTTTCACCTGGACTCAGCAGAAGTTTACAGGGTCCCAAGACAGGTAGGATGGGCAACTTAAAGTCACCAGGGGGAGCAATAAGTATCCAACATGTATGTATCATAAATAATTATGACACTGTCATCAGTTACAAAGTGAGAACATTTAAAAAGATCAAGACAGTTTTTATTGTCCTGGGACATCAGGGAGCCAAGTCACTAGACATGAAATAGGTAAAGTGAAATTAAACTTCTTTCCCTTTTTAAAAAGACTACAGTGGAAGGAGTATAAAACAGCAAAACCTTAGTCAGTAAGTTGGCAAAAAAAAAAAAAAAAATCATGGTTCATTTTCTTCTGAAACCTAAGTTCTCAGCAAGGTCTAAGGTCTCCAGCGGTTCAGGACCACATTGCTGCTTTCAGTATTGTTTGCTCTATTAGCTCCTTTACTTTTCTCATTTAGGTACCTCCAGTACATTCTCTGGGACAACCACTATATCTGGAGTTTCAAAAGCAGGTATTTGAATAAGAGGGACCTCCTTATCTTGAATGTATGATAATTTTATGGAGCGTCAGTGATAAAATAGCGCCTCAATATTTATTACTAGCATCTTGGCATCCCCAGATCTCATGATTCCTCTCTTCCCTAAGAGGCCACAGGTTCCACAGAAGGCAGGAGCAGTACCAGAAGTGAATCCAGAACAGGTTAGGATGAGCAGCCATGATTTGGTTGTTGCTATAAACAATGATTCTCCTTACAAGGCCTTGTTTGTAAGTGTGTTGTCCTCAAGAATAATGTGCATTTATTTAGGGACAGTGCATCTAAGGCATATATATTTTCCTTTATTCCTAAAATCTTACCAATAGCCTCTTGAGAAATGGGATGTCTTTTGTATTTCTCTGAGAAATTTCTCCTGAAAGGTTACATACAAACATATTCAGGGTACTATTAGGAGCTAAAAGCAGTTTTAATCCAGGGAAGTACAGACAATCTACATGATCTTGAAAACATGTCTTCATAAAGGTTTCATGTCTCCAAATCAATACAAATGTTTAGTATTTTCTCGATGTCTAAAAATGCCATCAAACTTATTTTTTTGTCTTGTGTCTCTGGCAGGAAAAACAGACCTTGTCTCCCTCTGAGGGAATACCATGAATATTGCCTAGATGGACTAATGCTTCTCTATTTGCTTTGAAAACAAAATGGTTAATAAGAATACACACAGGTCCCATCATTAGGAAATAGCCAGGGAAAGCTATTTAGATATAGGGAGAATAGGCTCTGATTTGTTCTAGAGGCAGGTCCTTAGGAAAGGGGAAAAATGGAACACCGTGGTGGTCTCTGTCCTCTTTGTGTTTCAGCCACTGCTGGGGAGGCTCTTGGCACAAGTATTGCTCCTGGCAGTTCCAAAACAGGTGAGTCCAGAGGTGGTCTGGGAAGACTTTAGGGGTCCTGTGATAATTAGATGTCTCCTGTGGTCTTATTCTATAAATGAGTAATATCACATTTTCTTCATAGCCCTTGAATATCTTCCAAACATGTCTTTCCTAATTTTCTCTCTCAGAGGCCACAACTTCCCTAGGAGGAAGGGGAACAACAAGAGGTGGAATAGCTTCAGGTGAGTGTTGCTGGGTCATCAAATTCACTTTCTAATAACACTCAGTAAAAGTGGTGTCTTGAACTATATGCACACCGCTGTTTTCTCCCATATTAGAGGAAAATTTTACTATTGTTCAGTGACGAATGTTCAGAAACTCAAATTTCATTTTTATCCCCCTGTACTTTGAGCAGACAACCCTCCCACCCTGCAAAACAATCATGCGGCTGTTTAGCAGTTTTATAGATGGTTGAGACAGGTAGCTCCTGTCTCCCTTTTCTTGAACTCCAGAAAAACAGAGGCCTAAGAAGTAAAACTACACCTCTGGCATTTTTACTGTTGAAGGGATATTATGAGAGGGGTATACAGATTACCTTTTGGGAATAAAAGCCCAATTTACTGAAATAACAATGAACATACATTTTTTTCCGTTTATTGTCTTATTACCCTTTTCCCACTTCATGATGACCATGTGTTGACCATGACTACCCCTCCCTTTCTTAATAGCTACCTCTGGGCCAGTCTCCAGAAAGACTCTGGAGCCTGGGAATGACAACACAGGTGAGTTAGAAGCACACAGGGATTGCCACACAAGCCTCCTCAGGTGACAGATCCCTAAGATAACATAACCCTGTTCTTCCCCACATTCCAGACTAATCCTGGCTTTCTTTTCTCTCAGAGGCCACAAGTTCCACAGAAGGCAACAGGATCACTGGATCAAGAGTGCCAGGAGGTGAGCTTTGTCAACTTGAGGTTTGGGATTCTCTTCTTTTCCAGTTTTTTTTTTTTTTAATACTGTAATAAACAAATAAATGAGAATTAGGGCCAAGGAAAGAGAGTTAGTTCCAATCTGGAAGGACATGTGTGCCTGCCCAACCCGTATGGTTCTAAAGAATTTCAGAAATGGTTGTCGACATCACACATTTCTTCGTGTCCTGTGTGACAGTGTCCGTTCTCTGGACACCTCTTTGAGGCCCACAAGCCTGCAGCAGCTTCCCCAGGACTGCCTATTCTCTCAGCTCTCCTCATCATGATTCTCCAAAGTTCTATCAGCTCTTAACAACTATCTAACATATTTATACTACTTCTTGTTTATTTTGTGTTCCCTCTCCCACAAATGCAAATTTTACCAGGCAGAAAACTTTGTTCTTCTCACTGACAGAAGAATGTCAGGCACAGAGGAAATGCTTCAAAGTCTAAGATGAGTGACAGCGATGTTCTTATGTAGCGTGTCACTGTATTTACTTCAGTAACTACCACCATGGTTTCACTTGGTGTCAGCATCTATTTCTGAGGTCCCAAGCCAGTTAGGATAGGATACCTAAAATCACCAGTGGAAACTATAGCTACCTGAAGTGTGTATTGTGAACACTTGATTATGACACTATGACCAGTTACACAAATGAGAACAGATAAAAAGATCTAGACATTTTCTTCTTTCCTGGAACACCAGGGAACCAACTCATTGGGCGTGAAATAGGTTAAAGTGAAATTAAGCTTTCTTCTCTTTTCTAATAGGCTACAGTTGAAGGAATAGACAGTAGCAAAATCTTAGCAAGTTGACCAAAAAAAAAAAAAAAATTCATGGTTCATTTTATCTGGAAACAGAAGTTCTCAGGAAAGGTGTTTTCATGGTTCAGGATGATATCACTGTTTCCAGTATTGCTTATCCTAGTAACTCCTTTGCTTTTCTCATTTTGGGTACTCGTATTGAATTCTCCAGAACGACCATTATATCTGGAGTTTCCAACACAGGTAGTTTAACAAGACAGAGCTCCTCATCCTGAGTGCACAATAACTTTGTAGAGCTTCAATGATGAAAAAGCACCTGACTACTTTTTACCAGTATCTCAGATTCCCCAGACATCGTGATTCTTCTCTTCCCTCAGAGGCCACAGGTACCACAGAAGGCAGGGGCAGTACTGGAAGTGAATCCACAACAGGTGAGGATGAGCAGCCTATGATTTGGCTGTTGCCATGATGTTACCATGAAAGCAACTCGCATTACATGGCCTTCTTTCAAAGTGGGGTTTCAGACAGAATTATGTACTTTTATAAGCGACAGTGCATCTAACACCAAATATATTTTCCTTTAGACCTAATATTTTGATCAATATCCTCTTGTGAAATGGGATGTCTCTTGTATATGTTCTGAGAAATTTCCCCTAAAAGTTTACAGAGGAACATATCCAGGATAATAGTAGGAGCTAAAAACAATTTTGAACCTGGGAAGTATAGGTGATCTATGTGACCTTGGAAACATGCCTCCATAGAAGTTTTCGTGTCCCCAAAGCAAGACTAATATTCGGTATTTTCTTTGTGACTATATAGCTCAGTAAACTTAATTTTTTGTCTTCCTCTCCCTGGCAGTACAACAGGTAAGTATGGGAGAAAACCACCTATGTCCCCCTCATGGAATGCCAGGAATATTGCACCAAATTAAAGATTGGGCCCTCTGATTGCTTTTGTAATCAACATGTAATGAAAGAGTACATGGAGCACATCATCTTGGAAGAGCCAGGGAAAGAGCTATTTAGATAGAACGAAGATAGGCTTAGGTTTTTTTCTAGAAGCAGGTCTTCAGGAAAGAAACGTGAGCTTCGTAGTAACCACTGTTCTCTTTGTGTTTCAGCCACCGGTGGGGCAGCTCCTGGCACAACTGTTGCCCCTGGCAGTTCCTATACAGGTGAGTCTCCAGGTTGGCAGGAATCTTTTATGAGTACTTGAATATCAGATGTCTTCTCTGTGCTGTTCTTTCCAGGAGTAGTGTCATGTTCTTTTCATGGCCTTTGAATATTTTCCAAATATGACTTGGCCGTTTTTTCTCTTTCTCAGGGGCCACAACTTCCCTCAGAGGCAATGGAATAGTCACAGGTGAGCACTGCTGGGTCATTGCATTCCCTTGATAATAACACCCAATAAAGTTACTGGGTTGAAATGTAATCCATGCCAGTCTTGTCTCACGTATTATACATTGTTATTTAAATTATTATAATCCTTTGTTGACTATTGTTCAGAAACTCAAAATTTCATTGTTATTTTCTACACTTCGACCTGACTCTCCTCCCACCCCACAAGGCAATCATACACCATTTGACTGACACTTATATAGATGATCTATAGAGAGAGCTCCTCTCTCCCTGTTCTTGAACTCTAGAGAAAAGAAGGCCCAATAAATAGAAAAACTTTTGGTAAATTTACTGTTGGTAGAATATTATAGGAGGAGTATACAAATTACCTTTTGGGATTAACAGCTCAGTTTACTGAAATAGCAAATAAATATACGTTTTTTTTTTCCATTTATTTTCTTGTTACCCTTTTCCCACTTTATGATGATGAGGTATTGATTTATGACTACCCATGCTTTCTTAATAGCTGCCTCTGGGCTAGTCTCTGGAAAGATTCTGGAACCTGGGAATGACAACACAGGTATGTTGAAAGCACACAGGGAATGCCACACAAAGCTCCTCAGGTGACAGATCCCTAAGGTAACATGACCCTGTACTTCCCCATGTTCCAGATTCATCCTTGCTTTCTTTTCTCTCAGAGGCCACAAATTCCTCAGGATTGGGCAGGACCACCCCGTCAGTAGTTCCAGGAGGTGAGTTTTGTCAGCTTGAGGCTTCAGAGTTCTCATCCTCCACCCCCACCTTTTTTTTTCCCCCGCTGACGTGAACAAATAAATGAGAATAAGTGCCAAGGAAATGGGGTTACTTTTCGTCTGGACGGACATGTGTGCCTGCCAACCTAGATAGTTCTGCCTAAGAATTTCAGACACTGATTATCTATGTGAGGCTTCTCTGCACATCCTGTGTGACAGTGTTGGTTCGCTGGACACCTGTCTGAGGATCACAGCCCTGCAGCAGCCTCCCCAGGACTCCCCAGTTCTCTCCACTCTGTTCTCATAATTCTCCAAAGTCTTATCCCTTGTTATCATCTGGCTAATGTATTTATCACACTTCTTGTTTATTTTCTGTGTTCCCTCTCCCACAAATGTAAATCACGTGAGGCAGAGAAGTTTGTTCTTCTCTGTGAAAGAAGAATATCAGATAGAGAAAATGCTTACAAATATGAGTGATAGTGATATTCTCATTTTGAATGTCACTTTGTCTAATTCAACGGCTACCACCACAATTTCACTTAGTGTCAGTAGCAGTTCTCAGGGTCCCAAGAAAGGTAGGATGAGCTACTTAAAATTACCAGGGAACATGTATCTCATATAATGCTATTCTTAAATACCTGATTATTACAATAATGAGAATATTGGAATATATCAAGACTTTTTCTCCTCTGTATGTGACAGGGAGCCACATCACTGGATGTGAGATTAGTAAAGTGAAATTAAGCCTCCTTTTTTTTTAATAGGCTATAGTGGAAGAAATGGTCACTATCAATAAATTGGCAAAAGAATCATTCATAGTTCATTGTTTTCTGAAACGGAGGTTCTCAAGAATGATGATACAGTGATTCAGGACCACATTGTGGATTTCAGTTCCTGTTAACCCTCTTAGCTCCTTCACTTTCTCATTCTAGGTACTTCTGGTGAATTCTCTGGGACAATCACGGCACTTGGAGTTTCCAACACAGGTAGTTGAATGAGAAGGGAATCTTCATTTTGAATGCCTGATAAGTCTGTAGACCTGAAATGAGAAAATAGCACCTTTATATTTTTTAGCAGTATATCAAAAACCCTGGAGCTCTTTTTTCCCCTCTTTTTTTCAGGGGCCACAACTCTCACAGAAGGCAGAGGCAGTACTGGAAGTGAATCCGGAACAGGTGAGGAGGAGCAGCCCATGACTTGGGTGTCACCATGAATAATGACTCTTAAGATGACTTGTTTAGAATTAGGCTTTCCTGCAGAACATTAAGCATTAATGTAAGAACAGTCTATCTAAAACCAAGAGATTTTCTTTAGATTTAATATTTTTCTATAAATCTACTAACATGCTCTTGTCAAATGTGATGGCTATTGTGAGATGGGTATAAATGTGATATACTTGTTCTGAGAAATTTCCCCGTAACATTACATACAAACTTTCATGATGACAGTAGGAGCTAAAAACAGTTCTGATCCTGGGAAGTAGAGATAAAGGAACCTTAGAAACATGTCTACTTAGAAGTTTTCTTGCCCAAAGGCATTAGAAATGATTCGCATCAGATAAATGAGTACAAAATTATAATTAGATAGGAAGAATTAGTTCTGGTGGTCTATGGCAGAGTAGGGTGCCCAGAGTAACCAATATTTTAGTGTATATTTAAACCTTGAAGAGAGGATTCTGAAGGTTCTCGTCACAAAGCAATGATAAATGGGGTGATGAATATGCTAATTATACAACATATACATATATCCAAACCTCACACTGTATCCCACAAATATGTAAAATTATTATGTGTAAATTAAAAACAAAAAATTATCAGGAAACAATTCTTTTTCTTCCCCCTAGACAGTGAAAGAGGCAAGTATGGGAGAATATCACCAATCTCCCTGTTATGGAGTGCCAGGAATAACACTCTAAGTTTGGCCCCTTGGTTCCTCTGCTTATTCATTAAATTAATGGGAAAACACATCGTCAGAGTGGGAGCTAGAGAAAGGGTGTTTGATATAGTAACAGCAGATAGATTTCTTTGGAAGTAGGCCTTCAGGAGACAAACAGGGGTCACTATGATGATTCCAGTCCCTTTTGTGTTTCAGCCACCACTGGGGTAGCCCCTGGCACAACTGTTATTCCTGGCAGTTCTAACACAGGTGAGTCAATAGGCTACTGTGGAATCTTCCACATGTCCTCCCACAATTATATATCTGCTCTGGTAGTATCCTTTGCGGGAGTGCCACTATATCTTTTCCATGACCCCTAAATATTCCCCAATGAACTCTTTCTTCTTTTCTCTCCTTCAGGGGCCACAACTTTCCTAGGAGTAAGTAGAACAACAAGAGTTGGAATAGCTACAGGTAAGTGCTGCAAGGCTGTAATCCCTAATAATTCCTTCAAACAGTTTCCTGAAAATGTCTATAGTACTAATATACAGTATATTGAGAAAATTCATAAATTCATTGTATTGCCTCCTTATTTCCTGAGCTTATGAGGGCCTTTGCTATACCATCATGAAGTCAAACTATTGACAGATAAATTGGTGATATGGAGACAAATTTCCTGTCTCCCCTCCAATGAAAAGGACATGACAGTTGAGAACTGCTTCAGTAAAACTGCTGTGGAAAGAAATGTTGCATGGGACAAATAGAGATTAATTACAGCACTTCAAGTCTCAGAGCAATAGTTTGCTGCTACATAGAGACTTGAGATTCCTATTTAAATAAAGTGGAGGAGAATAAGCCAAGATGGTGAACTAGAGTCAGCCCACATACTGCCATTACACCTAAACCTGGATGGAGCAAATGCCGGCAGCCACCACCTAGATAGCCTCACCAAACAATCATTCCAACCACTGTGGGGAGACCTGGGCAGAGCAGTCTCCTGCAATGCCTGCCTCTATGGAGAGGGTCTCACCCAGTTCCCTACCCAAGCATCCAGAAGTCACCTAGGGACCAACCTACCACTCCACGTGAAGATCCTCCAGTACTGGCCCAGATCCCATGACCTACCCAGGCACTGGAAAGGTTGTTTCATCCACCTCTGTGGAGAGGGACTTGCACAGCCCCCAAGCTTCCAACAGTGGCCTGGGGACCAATACACCAATCCAAACGAATATCCTCCAGTACTGGCTTGGACTGTGACAACCACAGGGGATCAAGATGACATAGAAGAACAGCTGTGCTACAGGCTCTCATTGTAGCCACCCCTCTCCCACTGTGTCAATCCTCCAGAGTAGGACACAAAAGCATTATCTAGGAACCTCTCCTCCTTCTCATAAGGTAGGAGAGTTCCCAGCAAAGGAGAACAGGTACACTGCAAACCTGTCTGTCCTGAACTGAGAGAAGAGATTTCAGATGAGAAGAAACCAGCAAAAGAACTCTGGCAACATAAAAAAAACAAGTTAATTCGACACCCTAAGAGGATCACAATAGATCTATGCAGTGGACCCCAACCAAAGGAAACTGTCAACATATCAGAAGTGGAATTAAGAATATGGATGGAAAACATGAATGGAATTGAAGAAATAGTTGAAAACCAATGCAAGCCCCCCAAAAATGTTTCAGGACATGATTGAAGAAAATGAAAAACTCGCAGAAGATATAGACAGCATATGGCCAGGCACAATGGCTCATACCTATAACCCTAGCACTTTGGGAGACTGAGGTGTGAGGATTGTTTGAGCTCAGGAGCTCGAGACCAGCCTGAGCAAGAGTGAGACCCACCTCTATAAAAATATAAAAATTATCTAGGTGTCATGGTGTGCACCTGTAGTCCCAGCTACTCAGAAGGCTGAAGGAAGAGGATCACTTGAGCCCAGGAGTTTGAGGTTGCAGTGAACTATGATGACACCACTGTACTGTACAACAAAAATAAATAAATAGGACTTTATTAAATTAAAAGGCTTCTGCATAGCAAATAAAATAATCAACAGAGTGAATAAACACCCTATAGAAGAGGAGAAAATATTCACAAACTATACATCTGACAAAGCTCTAATATCCATAATCTACAAAGGATTCAAACAACTCAGCAAGAAAAAACAAGCAAACACCATCAAAAAGTGGGCAATATACATGAACACAATTTTTTCAAAAGTAGACAAATGGCCAACATATGAAAAAATTCTCAATATCACTAATCATCAGGAAAATGCAAATTAAAACTTCAATAAGATACCACCTTACTCCTATCAGAATAGAGTATTAAAAAGTCAAAAACCAATAGATGCTGGTGTGGATGCAGAGAGAAAGGAATGCTTATACACTGTTGGTAGGACTGCAAATTAGTACAATCTCTATGGAAAGCAGTATGGATATTCCTTAAAGAAATAAATGTAGACCTACCATTCAATCCAGTAATCTCACTGCTGGGTATTTACCCAAAGAAAAATAAGTCCTTTTATCAAAAAGATACCTGTACTTGAACGTTTATCACAGCACAATTTACAATTGCAACAATATGGAATCAAGGTAAGTGCCCATCAATTCTTTAGTGGATAAAGAAAATGTGGTATATATATACCATGGAATACTACTCAGCCATAAAAAGGAATGAAATAATGTCATTTGCAGCAACTTGGATGGAACTGGAGAACATTGTCCTAAGTGAAGTATCTCAGGACTGGAAAACCAAACACCATATATTCTTACTAATAAGTAGGAGCGAAACAATGGGTACACATGAGCATAAAGCGATATAAAGGACTTGAGAAACCAAGAAAGGGGGGAGTGGGATAAAAACTAACCGTTGGGTACAGTGAACACCATTCTGGTGATGGGCACACCACAAGCCCTGACTTAAGCATTACACGGGTATCTATGTAACAAAAAGAGTTGTACCCCCTTCATTAATATTTTGAAATTAATAAAATAAGACAAGTATACAAGAAGTTCAACTGGTGACCATCCTCCCTTTTTTGTTGTTGTTAGGTACTGCTGGTGTAGTCTCTGGAAAAACTCTGGAGCCTAGCAATTACAACACAGGTAAGTCTGGAAATACATGCTAGATCTGGACATTGGCATCATGCTTGATACACCCTGAAACAGCATGGTATGTACTTTCCCACACCCTAGTCTTTACTCCTTCCTTTTTTTCTCTCTCTCAGAGGCCACAACTTCCACGGGAGGAAACAGGATCACTCAAGCAGAATTTCCAGGAAGTGAGCCTTTCTACCTGGGGTTTTGGGCTTTTATCAAATCCCTGTGTGGGCAGCTGCAGTGAACACAAGTGTGAAGATGGGCCAAGGAAAGGGGCCTGCGTTTTTCTGGGAACCCAGCAGGCCAGAGCCACAGCCTGGGTGTGCGGAGGAATTCCATGGCCTCACGTGTCTCATCCGTCTGGATTTCCAGGGGCCCAGGCTTGCAGAGCTGGCTGTTGTAGAGCAGGGATGAGAGGAATCCGCTGGCCAGGCCCTGTCTATCAGAGCCCTGATCCTTTTACACGATTTGCCTTTTTCCCACAGCACTTACTAACATCTATCACGCTGACTTATTTATTAAGTTTACTGTTCACTGCTGGCCTCCAGCTGCTAGAACTGGAGAAGCAGCATTAGGGGGGAGATCTTTGAACATTGTGCCCACTGATATATCCCAAGGGCCTAAAACAATAGTACACAGAATAGATGCTTAATAGATATTAGTAGAATGGTGAAATGTATTAAATTAAAGCTTTCACCTTATTTACTTTAATAGGTACAACCACAGTTTCACCTAGAATCAACAGCCGTTCACCAAGTTCCAAGACAGGTAGGGTGGACTAAATGTGTGAAAGTACTGGAGTTAAGGAGTTCTGTTTTAAACATATGAATATCAAAATACCTCAAGTAAATTAGGAAAATTTAGAAAGATGAATCTGTTGTGTGCTTTTTTTCCTTCATAAGGTCCCTCCGTCATACCCGGGAGTCCAACATCTGGAAGTGAAACAGGTGAGGGGGAGATAAGATCCTCGCCCACATGAAGAAGGGTCTATGGAACAGGCACTCCAGTAGCAACAATAATGGATAGGTGGGTCAGGAAATGAAATGGTGGTCACTCATGATTCATTTCCTTCAGAAACAGGTTTTCATGAAAGGTCTTCCAGTGGTTCAAGGCCTCACTCCTACTTCCAGTACTGATTGAGGAGTTAATGTTATGTTGATCTCTTTCTTTTTCTTTTTTTAGGTACTACAGGAGAATTCTCTAGGACAGCCATTATATCTGGAAGTTCCCACACAGGTAGGTTAATAAGCAGGAAATCTCCATGTTTAACCTCATAATATAGTTTGTAGACCTGCTCTGATGAGATATCAACATAATTTTTTTCCCAATATCCCAAATTCTGAGACTTCATCATTTATAATTTTCCTGCCTCAGAGGCCACAATGTTAACAGAAGGCAGCAACACTCCTGGAGCTTGGTCCAGCTCAGGTGAGAATGAACATCTCACATTTGGGGGTTGAACATGAATTATGGCTCTCCATAGGATTGGCTGCTGGGAGGTGTTTTCCTACAGAGTTGTTTGCATTTATTTTCAATATTTTCTTACACTGAACAAACTCTGGGAAAGTTCTCAATACCAGCATCTAGCCTCATAGTTGTAACTTTCTAAAGATGGGCAGTTGTACAGTCAGTATGAGAGATTTCTCTTGAGATGCCATGCACATCACTAAGGTGTTGGGGGAGCCAAGGTATATTATATTTCTGGAAAGAAGAGAAAACTGTGTGAATCCTGGAAGCAGGCCTGTTCCACATAAGGGTTTTCTTACTTAAAAAAGCAATAATGATATTAAATATATTCCCATGTTCTTGGCACATCAATTATTTTTCTGATTTTTATCCCACAGTAGGGAGCACTGCAGCACCAGGAGGCCAAGCAACTGGGAATGTGACAGGTAAACCTGGGAGAAAGCCTCTCTGCTTCCCTGTCTTGGAGTTGGTGGAATTTCAGGGGAAATTAGGAAATGTTCGACTTGGAAACATTACTATTTTAATTGCTTTGTTAATGACGTGAGTTACAGGAAAGGAATATGATTCTCACCTCACCAGGAAGCAGTGAAAGGGCCCTTTGATATAACAAAGATACTCCCAGATTCCTTCTAGAGGCAGATCTTCAGGAGACAAACATGAGTCACTGCGATGACTTCAGACCCTTTGTGTTTCAGCCACCACTGGAATAGCGCCTGGCACAACTATTGGCCCTGGCAGTTCCAACACAGGGGAGTCAATAGGGTGGCAGAGAATCTTCCAGGAGTCCATCTGTGATGAGATTTCTCGTCCACTGTTATTCTGTATAAGAGAACTTCTGTATCATTTCCATGGTCCTTAAATATTTTCCAGTCATCTCCATCTCATTTTCCTCTCCCTCAGAGGCCACAACTTCTGTAAGAGAATGTGGAACAAGAGTTGGAATAATCCCAGGTTACCTCTGTTCGGGGGCTAACTGTACTTTCTAATAACTTCCCGAGAGTCTTGCCTGAAATACAAAACTCTTTGAATTTCCCAGATTTGGCATATTAGGCAAAAATGTTGCAGATGTTCAATATGTGACATCAATAAATACAATTTAGACTCTTCAGCTTTTCCTCCTTACGTCTTGTGCCTTGTGTCTAAGGACCCTTCATGAGGGCCTCATGGGGCACATTCCCTGACAGTTATATAGGTGATTTGGGCCCAAATCTATATCCCTGTGACTAAACCCTAAAAGGGGGGCTGGGTCAGTGGTGGAAGACTTTCCCTGCAAACTTACTGAAGGAATGATATGTTCCATGGGAAATATATGGAATAACTCTTATAACTAGAAATTTCAGAGAAATAAATTCACTGGTTGTATAGAAGAAACACAGTTTTTTTGTTTTCCTTTTAAGAGCCGACGCCCATTTCATGTCATTGACTACATGACCACAATCCCTTCTTATTTCAGATACTACTGAGGGCATCTCTGACAAAACTCTGGAAACTGGAAGTGCCAACATAGGTCAGGAATTCTGAACATGGCCCCTGGGGCAATACAGCCTATGGAAGCAGAGCCCCAGAATGTCCTGTCCAGTCTGTATATCTCCCATTTTTTTCTCAGAGGCCACAACTATCCCAGGAGGCAGTGGGAGCACTCGAGCAGGACTGCCAGGAGGTGAGCTTTTCAGTCTGAGGCTTGGGGGGCTCTCATCATCTCTCTATTTGGGTTGCTACAGTGAACAAATACTATGAAGGAGTGGGGGTTAGGAGGTCTTCATTTTTTCTTGGGCCGTTATTTTATTGAATCAACCTGGGCAATTATTCTGCTTAGGAATTCCATGACCTCAGATGTCTCAGCCAGGCTATTCCTCAGTGTCCTGGCTTACAGAGACATTTCTTTTTTCTGGTAAGAGGTATGAGAGCATATTGCGTATATTCCAGCCCCCAGGGCTTCCAAATTTCCAATCCTTCTTACCCAGTTGACCTTTCCCCCAACAGCGCTCCACTTTCTATAATTCCTCTCGTTTACTTATACATGATGTTTGCTGTTTATTCTCTATCTCCCCTCATGGGAAAGCTTCATGAAGGCAATTGATTATGAAAATTCCCCAGTTTGTATCAAAAAGCCCCACTTACAGAGATAAAACCATACTTTATTCCTCCCTTAAGCACCTTCTGTCCCTGGAAGCGAAACAGGTAAGGGTGATTTAAAGCTCTTTTCTCTACTTGCCTCAAACTGAAAAGTAAATCCCCGTAGCAACACATCCATCCCAGGTTGGCCTGGGAAATGAAATGCTAGGAAGTTGTTCATTCCATTCCCTACAGAGATAGAGTATACTCAGGAAAGGGCGTCCAGTGCTTTTGGGCCACATTGATGCTTCCAAGATTAATTGGGGAGGTAATGAATGCTTCATTGTTCCATTTGCTTTTTTGCATTTTAGGTACCACTGGAGAATTTTCTGGAACAACCATTATAGCTGGAAGTTCTAACACAAGTAGGTTAACAAGAAGGAAATGCCTTTTAATCTCAGATGTTCATGCTATCTCTTGTAGGGCTGCTATGATAAAATAACACCCCAGTATCTCGTCCCAGTATTCCAAGTTCCCAGCCTTCATCATTTTCTTATTTCTTCCCTCAGAGGCCACAACTTCCACAGAAGAGACTAGTACTACTGGAACTGGATTTAAAAGTGGTGAGAATAGACAGCCCATAATTCAGGGTCATCGGGATCAGGACTCTGAGCTTTTCTTGAGAGAGTTTGCATTCTGTTTATGGACATTGCAAGTGAATCAAAATACATTTATTATTAGAGAAAAAAATCTTTTTGAAAATCTATTAATTCTCGAATTGAGCTTCACTGCTCCAAGTCCAATGATGGGATTTCCCAATTGTTGTTATAACAAACACCAGCATTTTAGCTGGAATCTAGAAAGTTTTCTGTATGCATGTGTGAAATAGACAAAAGCACCATGGAACTAGGACATACGCATGTATGTGTGTGTGTATGTATAAAAATTTGCACGTTCCGTATTTTCTCCTGCATCTAAAGTTTTCAGCATATTTAAATCTCCCCATCCCCTTTTTTCTGCTTTATAGCAGGCATCACTGCAGCACCAGGGAACCAAGCAGGTGAGCACTGGGGAAATGCATCTATTAATAGTTTCCCTTTTATGAAATCTTAGGCAGAAGTACCTTAAATTGGAAGCATTGTTTCTCCATTTGCTTTCGTTATTAATTGTTGAAAACAGGCAAATACGTCAAATTCATCATCTGCCATATGCTCAGAGAAAAATTTCTGTTATGGCAAATAAACACATTATATCCCTTTTAGATTCAGGTACTCCTTTGACTTAGGGAGTCACCATGATCACCTCAGTTCTTTTGTGTTTCAGGTACCTCCAGGGTAGCCCCTGGCACAACAGTTGCCCCTGGAAGTTTCAGCACAGGTGAGTCTGCAGTCTGGTGGACTCGTGTATGTTCTACAATGGCACGTATTCCCCTTTGGTGCTTCTACGCAGAAGCACGACCATTTCATTCCAAACTCCCTGAAACTTTTCATTTTGTGTCTTTCTGCTCTCAGCAACCACAACTTCTCCTGGAGAAAGTGGACTGACGGAAGTAGAAACCACTACAGGTAAGCCCCGACAGACCACTGCCTACCTAGCCAGAGTTGCGTGAACTGTATCTAGTATTTGAACTTCTTGTGAAGACCATTTTCTAAACAAAAATCACTGGGTAGCCAGGATTTTACCTAGTAACTAAAGGTCAGACACACAAGCTCTTTTTTTCCTCCTTTCCTCTGATTTGAAGAGGCTTCACCATGGAGCTAAGGCACTCAAAATCAAGTGATTAGGAGAGAAACATCTTTCTTTTCTCTCATCAATATCTAAAGGAAGTAATTGAGTTATTGACACTTTTGTCATTAAATTTTCTGTGGGATAACAGTGGTGTACGGGAAACATATACAGATTAACTCCTGATTCTAGAAACCTCTGAAAAGAGCTTGTTGGCATATTCAGAAAACACATGGTTCTCTCACCCCCACCCTAGGCCACTTCCTTCTCATCATGCATAAAGACTTGACATTTTGATTCCTATAATTCTGTGATCCAAGTTCCAGTATGGTAGCCACTGGCAAAATTTTTGCACATTAAGACTTTAATACCTAGATATGCTTATTACTATTATCATTATTTATCAGTTGAATTCCTTACTATATACATTTTTATTAAGAAGTTTGCATATCTTATTCCAATTAGGGACTACCTAAGGTCCAATTAAGAATCATATGAGTTAAAAATTTTTAATCCCCAGTTTTTAAACAATTAAACTTGTGTGTTGAAAATATATATCACTTTTACAGTCAGAAAGGCTTTTTTTCTGACTTAATAGTAGGTGACGAGACATTTTCGATTGTGCTTATCTCATGTAGTAACATCACCTTAGATCATCTTTCTTTAACACTCTGGTTTTCTTTCCTTTTTTAAGAAACCACAACTTTCCTAGGAGAAAGTGGCACCACCGGAGCAGAAATAAAATCAGGTGACAATTTAGGGGTTTTCATTATTTACTGTTGTAGTTTGACTCCAGGTTGACCGATTTGTTAGAATAGATTTTTTTAATGAGCTTTTTATTTTGGAATAATTTTAAATTATAAAAAATTTGCAACAATAATGCAGAGAATCCCTTTAATGTGGAATAGTGTTTTTTTAATTTCCTTTCGAGGCTATAATATTTCGAGGGAATCAGGATTTCTTTTTAGATTTGGATTTGAAACTACTTGGGCCCAAATTTCCCAAAGGCTTTCCCTTCTCAGGGATTAACCTCAGGGTTCTGAGTCTCTGGAGAAGAGAGTTACAATAATTCAGGCTCTGAAATGGTTTTCCCTTTGAAAAGAGCTTGATCTATATAACATCACAGTACTGATTTCTGTTCAGCATAGAAATCAGTAAGATGTCATATTTTAGTTCAAAGATAAAAATTCAAAATGTTCTTTTTTTCCCGTTTTCTTTTCATTAGGAGCCACCACTGGAGCATTAGGAAGTAAGACAGGTAGACATGGGAAAAGCCTTTGATATGACCTTCAACTTTGCCAAAAAAAGATGAGGGCAGGGATATTAGCCACTGCATTAACTTTGGCCTTACAGAGGCACATGGTAAACATGGAAGATGTCTCTTCTCTTGTCAGTTATAAGTCCAGGAAGTGTCTTTTGTTGCTCCAAAGTCATAGATAGGCATGTTGTTGGCCACATTCTTCTAAGGATTACAAAAGTGTCAGCATGTTGATCTTTCTCTTTTTCCCCTACCTAGGCACTGCTAGAGTACCCTCTGGTACAATAGTTGCACCCGGGAGCTCCAGCTCAGGTAAATCAACAATCTGCGAAGGATCACTGCCTGGGAAGGACTCCTCAATAAGTTGTCTCCCTGGGTGATCCTACCATACTTTTCTCAGATTCTTAAAATATTTGCCCTCACTACAATTATTTCTACCCTTTCTCAGATGCCACAAGTTTCTCAAGAACCACTGAGGCAATAACAGTCCTAGGTAAAAATGGGACGTCTGTGAATTCCTTCTAACAATTCAAATTGATTGAAATAGAGTGATTTCTGCCCTGTGGAAATCTTTGAGCCCCCAAATCCTTATGTTTACATATAGCAGAATATTTTCTCTTATTTCTTCTTCAGAAGCCAAGACTACTACACCAGAGAGCCAAGTCTCTGGCAGTCAAACAGGTGAGTATGATACAAATATGAATATCTCTGATATTTACCAATATTCAGAATTGGGAGACTTCTAATGTGAGAGTTTAGCCATTTTTTGGGGTGGGGGGGAGAAATCCACTTGTGGAAATGTGTATAAGGAACCCTGGAAGAGGCCTTCTATGATTTAAAATAAATGTATAATGTTTTTCTTCTTAGCCCTTCTTTTAATGTAAAGGAAATGACTTATCAGGCCCTTCCTCATTGTAATTCCAGACACCAATGGAGTAGTCTCTGGCACAACTCTTGCACCTGGAAGTTCTATCCCAGGTAAGTGGATATTTTCAAAGCCCATCATCCCTGTTTAACCTCAGAGAGGAATATGTGTCCCCAAACATACTTTCTACTTTCTTCATTGCCTCTTCCAGGGGCCAAAGTTTCCTTAGAAACCATCAGAGCCACTGTAATGAAATCAGTGAGGACTACGAATCCAGATGTTAGCACTGCCGTCAATGCCATCATGAATTTGCCTCTGGATCTAAAATATTGCCATACAGAAAGGGCAGGTCCTTCTCATACACCAGGCCAGCCATGCTGTTGACACACAATGCAGCTGGTTTCTGGACCAGCCTTTTCCAGTACCTGGCCTTGTGATGTAGGTTTCTTGAGAGAGTGATAGGAGTAGTAATTCTCTAGATGATTAACCCATTGGGTACAGGCAGCCCTACAGAATCAGCAGGAGTTAACACTGGCCCAGAAGGTTCTGTCTCAGGTAAACAGATAACTAAAATGAACTGAGAAATGGTTTGCTTCTCATTTGACTTTTCATCTTGAGCTTTAAATATTAAATTGCATAATGGTTGCCTCAGTGATTAATTAAAGGTCAAACATACTCAGTCTTTTACCTACTTTCAATGATCAGGAACCACCTCTGGAGCATCAGGCAATCAAATCACTGGAAGTAAAACAGGTAAATCTAAAAAATTCCTTTGTCTCCCATTTGAGGATTTTACATTATATCTGTTAAGTAAGCCTATTAGAAATAGGCTCCTTAGAGGGAAAAGGCTTCATTTATTTTGTTCATTGATCCCTAGTACTAAACAGGGCTCAATTAATGTTTACTGAATGAATGAGATAATTGATACATGGGAAAAATATATGGTTTAGTCAAGGAGCAGAAAGGCCAAGGAAAGGACATGCTTATGGGACTGCCTTGTAGCTAAGTTGTGCATGTGAGTGGTGTCTCCTGGAGCTGGACAATGCATGGAGCATTGCTGAATAATGTGGCTTTGGAGATACACATTTCATTGCTACCTAGATTGCCTCAGTGCATTCTTCGTGATGATACCATGGCTTTCTCATTTCAGGCACCACTGGTGTGGCCTTGAGCACAACTGTTGCACCTGGAAGTTCCAGTACAGGTAGGGTAACAAGCTTGGAAGAAAATGCCCCTTCTGGAAATAAGGTGACCAGAAATGTCTTTCACATTACTCTTCTCATGTAAGACTATCGCAGTATGTATTTTCTTCTTCCTAAATTCCCATCCTTTACCTGTTTCTTTTTCTTCCAGAAGCCACAACTTCCACAGGAGTCAGTGGAACCACTACAGCAGGGTGGAAAACAGGTGAGAATTAATGGTGTATGTGTGAGAGTGTGTATGTGTGACTTTTGGGTGATAAATTACAATTATACTTTGCTGTTTTGTAGGATAGTTTCTTGGGGAGGGGCTTTGTAGGAACTATCATCTAAGATCAATAATGTTTTCTTTTGAAACTTGATTTCCAATCAGTTTGGGAAGATTTTTAAAGTCCTTCCATATCCAGAGCCCAGCCTCGCATATGAAGATCCCTTCAAATGAGAGTGGAAGTGATAATGGTCTGGAATGTTTTTTCCTCCCATTGTAGGTACCACAGAAGGAACTACAGGCTCAGAGCATTCTATTTCAGGTAAACAGAAGGCTGAAATGAACAAAGAAAACTTACCTCACACAGTATATTCTTCCATGAGCACAAAAGTGACTGAAATGGATAGTAGTTATCCCAATAATTGGAGTCTACCTTTACCCTCAAAACTTTTCCTATTTTCATCATTTTAGGAGCTACCACTAGAGGGTCAGTAAAACAAGGAACTGGAAGCACAATAGGTAAATATGGCAGCAAAGGGGGCCAATTGATGACTGTGATTAAGTTCCCAAAATGGGAGTGGTCCTATGTTGAGGAATTTGCATCTTTGATTTGGGATTAAAACTATACACAAGAAAACACAAATAATTCACCACCAGTTGGGGGTGCGGAACAAACTCAAAAGACAAGTTGATTCCCTGCCAACCCAGTCCCTCCCCCATGAGAGGAAAAGTCACCACTATCCTTCTTGTCGCAGGCACCACTAGGCTGGCCTCTGGCACCACACTTGAACCTAGGAGTTTTAACACAGGTGAGCCGACCAGCTGGTGAGAACCCTCCACAGCATGGGGTCTAGTAGTAAAGTCTCTCTTGGTATTGTTACCAAGAAAAGTGCACCCTTAACTTTCCTCAGAATACTAAATCCTGGTCACCTCACATTGTTTTATGTTTTCTCTTACAAGCTACAACATCCGTTGGAGGTGGTGGAACCACAGGACGTGGAATGAGTACAGGTGAGTACACAAGCTTTCTAACCTCTTCTCTTTTCACTTGCAACAATAGCAATATGGTAGCTAACAGCTATCTAGAATGAACTATGTGCCAGGCACTAGTCTACATCCTTCTCATTATTGTTTTCAAAAATTTTATAGATGAGAAACCTATGGTTCAAGTTACCTTGGGTAACTTGCCCAAGATCACACAGCAAGTGAACAGCACATTGCAACTCAGGCCATCTGACTCTGGAGTCCATCCTCTTAATGATGACACTATACTATTACTACACTATACCATGAGATTCCTTTGCCACATATCTAAACTTTTCTAGAACACTAAAATTTCTAGTATCAGTATTTTACCTAAATGAAAATTTAACAGGTAATCAGTCCTGCTTTGTTTCTTCTTCTAGGAGTGTCAGGTAGCCAAGTCACTAACATTCAACCAGGTAAGTAAAGGAGGATATCTTCGTTTTGTTGTCCATGAGCCCAAAGGGGTGTTATCACTAAGGCTCCACCACTACCTCATGTTGCACCCTCCCCTGCCACCAAGTTTATATCAAGAATGAAGCATTCATTACATGAGCAAACACACAATAGCTGTGGAACAAGTTATTCCTAGAAATGGTCTTTTCACATAATAAAGAATTATGTAGTGTCCCCAGTCCTATTCTAGAATATGTCGCTCTTATTGTAGGTATGAAATTGACATAATGATACTATTCCTTTTTTTTTGTTTTAGGTACTACTGGAGTGGTCCCTGGCAGCACCATCTCATCTGGCAGTTCCAACACAGGTGAGTCAATAAGGAAACAGGTGCTATGATTTCTTTCTTTTTCTTCTCTGAAGTTACAACTTCCATAGAAAGGAGCCTATGAAAGTGGAATTGGTAACTCTTGAGTTCCCAATAATTTCTATTTGGCTTTTGCATTTTCAGAGAGACCATTGTTAGACAAAGCTTATATTATAAAAATATCACTTCACCTAAGAGAAACCCTTATACCGTAATTCTGAAGAGGCTCAGAGTCCAGAAAGGTTCCCCTCTTCACATTCAAGCTATTACCTCAGAGCATATGGAGACAGTAAAATCTATATAGTTCTATTTAGGAAAGCAGAGGCAATGGACGTAACTCTGGAGGTTTAGGTCTATTATATTTTGGATTTAAGAAGTTACAAGTTTGTTAATTGAATACAGTGGAATACCTTTATACAAATATTGTTTCTATTTCTTGTCATTAAAAGCTACCATTGGTACGTCCAAGAGGTCAAGCCCTGGAAGTGAAACAGGTAACCATGGGAAAGGCCCTGAGCTTTCTAACATTTAATCCCCGGGAAGCAAATAATCAAGGCTGGACCATGAGCTAATGAGTTTATTGTGGCTCTGAGTTTAAAAATAGAGAAAGCACTTCACCTTCACAGAGTAGCCCAGAAGGATCTTCTGCTACTTTCGAGCCATAGACAATCATTGTTACCGATGCTCTTCTTGGGATGGTAAATGCATCACTATTTGGATTCTCTTTCTCTCCCCTCTGCATTAGGCACCACTGGTGTAGTCTCTGGCACAACAGTTGCCTCTGGAAGTTCCAACACAGGTATATCAATAGTGCCTCCTACAACCCCTCCCCACAACATACACATTCCCTGACATACCCTGGGGGTACCACCAAATGTTTCTCAGTTAGGCGATCTGAATTTACTTCTCTTCTCCTTTTTTGCTTTCACATAGAGGCCACAACTGCTTTGGGAGGTAGTGGAACCACCAAGGCTGGAACTAAAATAGGTGTGTGCAAGTAGTCAAAAAATATTTTTCTCTTCATCTTAAGATAAATCATGTTGGCAATAGTGAACTTAGTGGAAATTTTACTCAATCTCTTTGAGTACAAATTGCCAGAATATTAACACTTTACTCCCTGTGAACCACCCTTTATGTATTTGTAATGCAATGGTATAATAGAGACCACGTGTGATGTATCACTTAAAGCAAGAAAGTTCCTGATATAAAGTTCACTCAAGAAACCCATTGTTATAAACTAAATCCAAGTTTTAGGTAAAATAATTCATAAATTGATTTTATCCTCTTGTGGTTTCAGTTACCACTGGGATAACTACTAGTACAACCATTGCACCTGGGAATTCCAACACAAGTAAGTCATGTAAGAGTTGGGGAAACCTGCCTCTGTGAACTTCAGAGGACCTGATGTCTCCCACAGGGATATTACATAAAGTAATACTACTACACATTTTTCTAAATGTCTGCATTCTTTACCACTTTCTCCTATTTCTCAGAGGCTATAACTTCTATAGAAGTTGAAACTACTACCACTGCAGTTGCAATGGCAACTGGTAAGTGGTATGCTCTTTCAGCCTTTTGGGTTCTCAACAATTCTCTGCTTGAGTTTGTGGTAGATGATGAATAAGTGAGGCTGAAACAGGGTTTTGTATTTCATTTGAAGAAATATATGTCAAGTAAATCATCTTTGGCCCTTGCTCTTCAGACTGATTTTTCTTTGCACACCAGCCTTTTAGATGTGGTTTTATGAAATTAGGAATGATGTGTTGTTGCTCTCAATCCTTTATCCATCTTGCTTTTGTAGGTACTACTTTAGGATCATCTGGAGTTTCCGGGGGCCCAGAAAATTCCAGTCCTGGTTAGTAGAGATGTTTAATTCACCCATCATGGACTTCTGTTGAGTATAAATGTATTCTCATGGGTTTATCCTCATGACTAAGGTTCTAACAAATTCAATTTTTACAATTCACCCCCTACTTCCAAGGAATCCCCACTAAAGCACCAGGGAGCCAAGTCACAGGAAGTAAAACAGGTGAGCAGATGAAAAGCACTTTCCAAAATATTTAACCATAGAAAAAGAGCTCCAGAATGAGAGTTTTGCCATATATTGGGTTTGGAGGAATGAGAAAGTCTGTGAGAAAACATGGTTTTTGCTTCTCTTTGCATAAAGAAACCATTTTACTGCTTATAAGAAATATGTAAATTTGTCCAAGTCTATGCTATTCTAGGAACAAAAAAATCATTACTATGATTTCTTTGTCTATTTTGTAATCTATCCATCCCAAATCTTATTTTCATTTCAAATTCCACTGGAGCAGCTTCTTTCATCACATTTGTTGCTGGAAATTCCAACAGGAAGTAGTCAAAGCTACCAAAGAAAGCTCTTAGTAGTATCTCAGCAAAAAGCAGTCTTCTTTGAGAATATGTCTTCTATAACAACACAAAATATTTTCTAGATTTCAAATTTAAAATCACCTCATTTTATTTATTTTTTACTCCCAGGAACTACAACTTCAGTGCTAAGCAACAATACCACTGGGAGTAAAATACAAACACGTCGCTGCATTGCAGATTGTTGGGATTTCATTGATTACTGGTGGCATTTTGCCTCTGACCAGAGATGATAAAACTTTTCATTTGAAGATTTTATTAATAGTAGAGTCAATTGGGTTGGTCATATCAATGCTCTGGAATTCCCTGGACTAAAGAGTTAATTAGATGCAGCTTTATTAAGACATAGCTTCCCAGAAGTAAATACTTCAATGGAGACAGGAGTCTTTTTAGGTAAAATATTTCCATACTTGTCTTTGCAGGCACTACTCTTATATCAGGTAAAGTCACCAGTAACCAAGAAGTTTCCAACCCAGATAAATGAAGATGACTGAAATAAAATTAAGACATTTGGGGTGGGGGGAATCTTACATAGAAATTTTTAATTTATTCAAGGAAAAGAATATTTTATCTATTATATTTAAAAGGATGGGGATGTAAAATAGCCTGGAATGTTCAGGTAACTGTAACACAGTGTGCTTGTGGAATACGACCCAGATGTTGGGAAAGCATTGCAAGAGAGGATACTAGGAGGTTTTTTGGAGCTTTGAGATGGCAAAGTTAAGACAGAAATGTTTTAAAATGAAGGGGAAGAAGGAGATCAACTCCACAATTCTGTATTCTATAATGAGAATATTATAATATAGGGCTTAGTTATAACATAAAAAATTTAAAACTTGATTCTATGGGCAATGAGGAGCAATTGCAAGGTTTTAGGTAGGTTGATTGCCATGCCCAAATTGGATTAATTAGTCACAAGGTAGAAAGAAGATTGATATGAAGGAGAGTAAGAAGGGTTGGTGGAGGCATGTTGTCTAGTTTGGAGTCTGCTTAAAGTGACAGATGACTAGATACTGAAATAAGGCAGTCACATGGGGTAGCAGGGGCAGGAGTGTTGTTGGCCAGTTAGAATCAACTAATGTGGTTGAGAGGATGAAGGAGAGGAAGAAGTTTGGATGAGTCCTAGTTCATGGCATGGGTGCTTGGGTGGATGCATGATGGTGCCATCCACTATGTTTGGGAATATACTGGAGTGAAAAAATGCTAATTGATAGATGTATTGAGATCACATTCTGATAGCTTGAGTTTGAATTGCTTTCAGGTTTCCAGGTAGTTGTGCCCAGCAGAGCTGATGAGGGTGACTAGAGCCCAGAAGAGAAGCCAAAACTGGAGTTAGAGATTTGTCAGTCATTTTCTCACAAATGATATTTGAAACTATGGATGCCGATAAATTTATGTAGTATAATCATGTAGAATGAGAAAACAGAATTCTTGGGTTCACCAGTATCTATAAAGAGTGGATAAAGGAACCTGGAAAGGGGAGCAGTTTGGGTTCAGCAATTGCCAATGTGTTTGACTTAGCATAACTCAGAGTATGGGAGCACTGGAATGTACCACACTATGACCAGGAGACCACATTGCCTCTAATTTAGAAATTCAGAATCTCAAACAGTATCAGCCAGAATTTACTGGGAACTTGTAGTTTTTTGAACGTTTCATTTTTCAGGGACTCTAGCCTCATAGTTATACAACTTTGAAAGGAGAAGAGGGAAACTTGAAAGAATTAAAATATCAAGATTCAAAATTCTTTCCATTTTTTAACCTTCAGGAGTCACCAGCGTAATTCCAGGAAGCCAACTGCCTGGAAATCAAGCAGGTGAGCTTGGGGAATTGAAAAAGGTAAGGAGTGGGAATGCTTCTGTCTCCATGACACTAACTCTGGAAAGGGATCCCAGAAGATGCAGCTTACCACAAGAACATAAAAGAATAGGGAAAAGCATGTTTATTTCACCTCCTGGAATAAAAAATCCATTGTTTCACAGAAACATATGGATTTGTCCTAAGTCATGATCCCTATTCAATAAGAAAGACATTGCTCCCTCTTTCTTCTCTCTCCTATCCCAGGTTCCACTGGGACAGGCTCTGGAACTACAGCTTCACCTGGAGGTTTCAGAACAGGTAAGTCAGGTAGTAAAAGGAATACTCCTTTAAATGGCTGTAGGGACAGGGTCATATACTGCCATATCATTTGCATATTAACAAACTCTCCATCTTCTCAATTTTCCTTCTTTGCTCTCATAGAGGCTACAACTTTGAAAGGAGTTGGAACCACTGAAGCAAAAATGGCATTAGGTAAGTTTTACAGGATTTTTGATTCTTAATTTTTCCATTTGCTTTTACTATATATAGATTTTCAATGATAGTTCGCTTCACATAGTTCCATACCTTTCTCAGCGATTGCTCAGACTTTGAAAATGAATATGGCTAAGAAGTGGTTGCTTTTCCTTTAATAGCAGATCATAAGGTGAACCTAGATTAACTCTCCAGTTTTTCCTAAAGGACATATTATAGATATAATTCTCTAGACACATCATTTCTTTACTCCCTGTTTTGTCAGACAACACTACAGGATCAACGGGAGTCACCAGCAGCCAAGAAGGTCAGTAGAGGTTACTAGAATAGATGCAAGTAGTTTTGCTAAATAAGGCTTTGATTAAGATGCCTAACCCTTGATCACAAGTTTAGTCAGTTTGTTTTTCTGGTTTTCTTCCCCTGGAGAAACTTCTCCCTCTTATTACATTTACTCTAGAAAACTTTACTGGAAGTAAATCATATGCATATAAGAAAAACCTTCTCTAATTTAGTAATCAGTCTAGATGATTCTAGATCTAGAGAATTGAGATCTATGAGGCAATTGTGACTTTTCTCCCTCATATTTTCGTGAACATGCAATCATGAAAGTACATTGGAAAACATGCCAGGCCTAACATTTGGTGCAAGAAAATATGTCAAATTGTTTTCTATTGCTTCAGACAAACAGGAGAATTTGACAATACCATATTTTTCTTAAGATGAGAAAAACTTGGTGAGACTTATCCTTCCCTCTTATTACAGGCACCAATGGCACAGCCTCTGGCACAACAGCTATTTCTGGAGTTTCCAGCACAGGTAAATAAATATTTAGTAAGTAACGCTACGTGTCTAAGACTAGAAAAATAAGATCCCTCTTTTGGAACTGATTGCTGTCGCGTCAGCATAGCTACAGCAGCTATGTTGTACCTACCTCATTCTCCTTTGCCTTTCTTAGGTGTAAATGAGTGTCAGTGGTTTAAATCTGTTGGTTTCTCATTAATGACTCCTACTGTTGCTTCAACATAGGGGGATATTGAGGATAAAGATAGAGGCCCAGGAAATGGGATAGAATCTCATTAGAGAATTTATCTTTTCTGGACATTTAAAGTTATCTTTTTGTTCTGGGTTTCTGGGGTTAGAGGAGAGAGGCGAGGCTGAAATCTTGGCCATCACAGATATTTTCTCGTTTTCTCTATCTTATAACTTCTATTCCTGCAACCTCCGAACTAATACAGGAGAACAAGGAAACCAAGTTATGTGAAGTAAAACAGTTAAGTGTGAGAAAAGCACTTGTCACTTAGAGAAGGGGGACTCAGAAGTGAAAACTTTATCAGGGTCATAGGAAAACATTCAGTTCACCTCTGTGAGCAAGAAGTTGCTAAGATAGAACCTCTTAATGTTTCAATGGCAGCGGCATGAGCTTGGTGTTAGTAGATGCATTGGTATGCTCCAGGTGCTTTGACACTCTTGGTCCATGGGGAGGTGTCTCAGGGGACATGCTCTTCTCAAACCAGAAACAGTTTATTGCTCTTCCCTTGCTCATTTTAGGTACCACTAATGAAGCATCTGAAACAACCATTGCTCCTGGAATTTCCACCACAGGTAAGTCAAATAATAATAAATGAATTTTTTTTCGTGGCATCTCAGGACAGGATAGCTTATCTGCAGTTCACATAGAAGTAGAGAATAGAATGGTAGTTACCAGGGGCTGGAGTGGTTTGTGTGTAGGGGGTGGGCTTGGGGAGATTTTGGTCAAAGGATACAAAATTTTAGTTAGGAGGAATAAGTTCAAGAGATCTATTATATAACATGACTGTAACTAGTTTATATATAGTATTCTTGCAAAATGCTAAGAGTGTGTTCTCACCACAAAAATAATAAGTGAGGTAATGCCATATGTTAGTTGGCTAGAATTTACTCATTTCACAATGTATCTTAAAAATCATGTATCGAATAGTTTTATCTGTCAATTTTTTAAAGATAAATTTAAAAGTGTTTTAATGAAGTTAAGCTCTAGCTTCTCTAGGTCCCTCTACTCTCACCACTTGTGTTCGTTTTGTAGCAGTTACTGCTTCCACAGGAGTCAAAGAAATCTCTGGAACTGGAGTGCAAACAGGTGAATGATCAGGGTGGCTTTGATTACACATAGGAGCTGAGTTAGGGGGAAAGGGATGGTAGGAAAGGAGAGGAGGAAGGGGAGAGGAACAGAGAGAGGGGAAAAGGAAGACACCCTTCACCTTTTGAGGGGGACATGACTTTGCTGTTCCACTGGGGATACCTTTCTTCCCTGGGAGTTTTTGGTTTAAGCTTTCACTGGAGCTCCCTGCTCTAAAGACTTATTCAGCTGGCTTTTGAATTGTGAGAAGGGGATGGTGAGGGGGGCAAGTCCTGCAGTCTTTTACATTTCTTCTTGCAGGTTCCACCGCAGTTGCGGCAGGAGTCACAACAAGCCCACATGTATCCCAGCCAGGTAAAATGAAATGCCCAAATGAACCTGATGACTTGTCTATTCCACACGATGCTCTCCTTGAACATGAATGTGTGCTGTCATCTGTGCATGCGTGCACACACAGACTTGATATGTGCATGTTATTCTAATAAAATCTCAATACCGTCCTCTTATTTTCCCCTAGAAACCACTGTAGTGACAACAGGGGATCAAGAAACTGAAAATAAAACAGGTCAGTATGGAAAAAGCCCTAATTTCTTTGTTATTATTTCAACTAACATTTCTTTATCTTGTATGTGCCAGACTGTGTCAGAGACATTAATAGCAAACACATCAGTTAAGGTACAGCATTCTCCATTTTATATTTTGTGTGTGTGTATCAGGGGGAGAGATTATGGGCACAGATATTATCATTACTACGTATTTAATGATAACCCTGAAACATGTGTTGTCCCAGGGGGTGGGGTGAGAGTGGAGTGTTCGTTTCTGCTTATCAGTTGGTAGTGTTGAGTGAGAGCATCAGAAAGGAGACGATTGAGTTTAACATTGGCTGAGGTGGGGAGGGAATTCCTGCCAAACTGCCTTGGAACAGACAAAGACATGAGACCACAGGTGAGAGTTCAGGAATCAACCAGGTGTTGGCAATGACTATGAGGTTGAGGGAGGAAATGGGATTGGAAAGGTAAGTAAAGTTCATGAAGAACCAAACTTAAATGAGACTTTATCCTTATAGTAAATGAGATCTCCTTAAGAATTCTATCAAGAGAATAATAATGATCAGATAGTTGTTTTAGAGAAATTATTCTGGTAGCAGTGTGGAGATTAGGAGATTGTTCTTTACGGCTCCCCTTAAAAATATCTCCAGTGAACTCTTGTATTTCTGGTAAGGGAAGATTTTCTGCTGTATTTATGCCTAACTGATCACTTCTCTCTCCTATTGCTGGTTTCTGCTAAGCATTCATAATTAGGAACTAGTGTATCCTCCCTTGGTAAGGAGTTAGAGACATTTGATCCCCCAAATTTCAAACCTATAACTCCTTTTTATCTATATTTTTATACCTGTTATTAATATTTGGTCACTTTTTCTAAACATGTAGAAATTTTAAGTTCTTTTAAAATATTGTTACTCCTAGGCCAGCTTTTTTCTTGGTAGGTAGAATAAAAATATTTGATTTTTAGCAGTTCTGAAATTTGTGAGTGGATTATTGGGTTAACCAAAAATATATGATGTGTGAAGGCTCAGAAGAATGCTTATGCCCAGTTTAAAGCATTTGATGGGGGTGGAGATAGAAGAAAATTGAAGTACTTCAAGAAGATAAAAAGAAGAAAAAAGTTCTTAAAGGATCAAAAACAGACAATTAATAGTACTTATTTCATCCTATATCTGAATTATCTTTTTTCTTGTTTGGTTATCTATTTTATCGTTCTATTCATTAAACTGTCTTCCAAGAAAATTTTGAAGAGTTTACCTTGATGTTTTCTCCTTTTTCCCTTTGATTTTCATATCTCCTTCCCATTAAAATTTCAAGTACAAAAGGACATACTCTCTAATGGTAGAATTTCAAATGCAATCAGGAGCAAAAAGGGGAGATGGATGGGAATGTGTCTGTTTGTAAGACTAGCTATGGAACCAACTATTTCCAGCAATAGAATAATGAATTAGATAACTAGCCCCATCATTACTGCAGTAACCTCAGAGACTAACATGAGTTTCCCTTTTTTACCCAGAATGTCTAGTATCACTTCCACCAGCTCCAGGTAAGAACGCCACCACTTCAGAATCATTCTGCATTAATGGTTCTTCTTGAAAATCAAATTTCAGAGGTCATGTGAACAAAACTCACTAGACGTGGAAATGTTACAGGAGAACTTGAAGTAGATGAATTTAGCTCTTATTCACCAAATCAATTGGGAGTAACCATCTGTTTTTACATTTACAGATGAAGCCAAACCAAATAAATATACCTGGTTACTTAGATCAAAATAAAGTTTACCTACCGTTTCATGTAATTATCTTGATCAAAATATTGCCACTTTATAGTGAACATTTTTAAAACTTGATAATTCCAGCTTTTTTGAGGGCTTAACTGTAACTATAAAAATTCATGTTATCCAGAGTTCAGTAATTTTAGAAAACTTTGAGTTCCTACTATTCTCAAGACAATGTGATATGCTTTGCAGCACATGGAAAAACATTAGTAAAAAACTCATTCATAGTGGGAGAAGGGAGACTTTCAAACACAAAGACAATTTTTATATCAGGCAGAAAATAAATTTCACAGTAAAAAATATAAACTATTATATAGAGAGTACATGTTATATATCACATATCGTATATTTTCAAGGAATCCCCAGGTATTTCATTACAGAATTGGAGTTTAAGAACAATATGTAGATTAGTTCAGGGCCAGGTAAATGAAAGAAGTGAGACAAAGTTGAGAAAGGTGAGTTTCTGTCACAATATGGGAGACCTTAGAAGTTAAATGCTAGATCAAGGTGTTTATTTTATAAGATTAAGGTGCCACCAAGAGTTTTTAATCAAAGCAGTAATGAGATAAGAATTAGACTTTAGAAAAATTCTTTTACCTATTTTGTAGAGAATTGATTGAATCAGGAAGAGCTCTGTGTCAGAGTAATCCCTTTAAAAAGCCAGTAGAGTATGCTAGATCAAAGATAAGATCTTGCAGTAGTATTGTAGCAAGTAGAACAAGGAAAGAAAGGGATTAAAGTGAGGTGAAGATACAGGATTTGGTAGTATATGCCAAGTGATGGAAGGAATCGAATGGGTCCTAAGTTTTCAGCTTGAATGTTGAAAGAATAGTTCTGTCCTTAACAGGAGGAAGCCAGTTTAGAAGAGAAGCTGGTTTTCCGGGCAAGATGATACAGTCTATTGTGTGCACAGATGGTTTGAGGTTCTTATCGATCTGCCGGGATGCTATTTATTAGGTAGAGAGAACTAGGTCAATAGCTCATGAGAGAGGTCTGGACTTGAGCTAGAAGTTTGAGAGCCATCCACTTGATGTTACCGTAGACATTGTGGAGATGGAAGGAAGAATAGACACAAAACGAGGAGTAAGAAGAGCTACTAGTAAAGACAGGAGCTTCATAGTGTTCAATCTGAAGAAAGCAAAACATTTTTCAAGAAGGTGAGAATTAATAATGTCAACTATGGCAAGGAATTTAAACTGAGAAAGAACCCATGGGTCTGGTAATTATGAAATCTTGGTAATTTGTAGGATTGTGGAAACAGAAGTCAGACTGTAAAACAGTAAGTCAATTAGTAGCCGTAAGATTTATCGACCACTGCCAGGAGAAATTAATAATTATCCTTTGAGGGGATTATAAAAATAGGATATGCTTGTTAGGAACAGTTTGCTTGAAGCAGATGTGATTTATCCACCTTAAGGCACCCTATAATCCTCCATAATTCTATGACTCTGAAATCCTACTGCCAATTACAGTATTAGCCACCTGGTGGTTATCTATAAATAACAGATGGTTATATTTTGCCCAATTTAATTACCATTTATCATTTCATTTTAACAGTTTGTCATGGTCCACTGGGAGAAGAGAAAACTGTAAGTATACAGTTTAGCTCGACTTTAATCCAAAATCTTCCTCATTCTTTTATTTGAATAGAGGTCTAAACTTGGTTTGTATGTGTAGCCTGGAGACACGTGGACTAGCAATTGCCACAGATGTACCTGTACTGCTGCAAAGACTGTAGACTGCAAACCTAAGGAGTGCCCTTCTCCACCCACATGCAACACTGGAGAGAAGCTTGTAAAGTTCGAATCTAATGATACTTGCTGTCAAATCGGATACTGTGGTGTGTATTCATAATATGTTATTTGCATTGAATCTGTTCGTTATTTATTCACATATTCAAGAGATTTTTTGAGTTAATATTTGTCAAACACAATACTAGACAGGTGTATTAATAATAAATAAAACAGAACTAGTTACCTGCATTCTTAAAACTTACCATCTTCAAAATGGGGTATACCCAGAATTAACAGTTATGAATATAATAATCAGTAGATTAAAGGGAGATTATGAGGAGAAATATAATTGGTAGTTGTGATCTTATCTACAATTTGTTTTATTCTAAAATAAACATAATTTTTATTTATAAAATGATGTATTTAATTTTCAGAACCAAGAACATGTTCATTTAACAATATTGACTATGAGGTAAGATTTTTTTTCTTCATTAAAATGTCTTTGTTAAATTATATGAATAAATGTAATGGGTGACTACACTAAGGGACTTTCAGCTTATAATGTGGAAAGAAAATATAGTAATGATGGATTGGAGTCTGTTTATTTTTTTCCCCATATCCATTTCCAAAGGAACATCAAAATTTAACACTCACCATGCCCCTCTTCAAAGGGGGAAAATATAGAACTTGATCATTAACTACTCAGCAGTGGACCTTCTGAACAAAATTTCCCATGGGCCTTGCCAGATGGAGAAGACATACTTTGTAACATTCAAATCAATGAACAGAGTTAAACTGTAATTATAACCAGAAAGATCAGATGGCCAAACTGTCAGAGATCAAATATGAAAACCCAAAGGACTAGAACTCCATTATGTGGATACAACAACACAGTATATTCAAGGCTAGATTTTGACAACTGATTTGGCATTTTGGACAGTAATTTAACTTTTTAGAAAAAGTATCAGGAAGTCATGAAAATCAGATTATTCTCAAATTGATATTAACACATTTGAACTGCTGATACCACACATTGATTTAAAAATCTAAAAATATATATGGTATGTTAGGGAAATAGATAAAACAGCCTGTGAGGGTTTTACTTTCATAATCCTTTTATTTCCACATGGGCTTCTTTGGAAATTAATTTTTAGTTTCCAAAGTTGATCTGACTTGAACCTATATATGATAATATTTCAGGAACAAAAGGAAAGATTTCCTCTAATTGTTTATACGCAAAATAGTTGAAATAGTAAAATTTCAGTTTATCAGAAAGTTCATCTTGTGGTCTGAGGCCCTGATGGCTTCTCAAACTTTTGTTTTAATATTGAACATGAACTAATTATAGAGCAATCTAGAGAGACTTAAAAGTATAGGAACAAAAGCATAAATAGAAGACATCTTGTTAATACTTGCCATTTGTTCTAATCTGAAAAATCTATTTTGTGCCACTTTTTTCCCCACTTAGATTTCTTATTTGTTTTCCTTTAAGCTTAGAACATAACAGTTGGTAAACTGCTTGATCAAATAACTGTTCTTAAAAAAGTCCTGAAAATATAATAGAGTAAATGTTGGTGAATCTTAAGTTGAGGATTGAGAATCTTAACATATTCTGTGTTCTCATTGAAGAACTTTGGTTTATTCACGGAAGTAGGTGGCTTTCTTAACTGTTAACCCGATGGTAGAAAGTGCCTCTGGAAAGCCACTAAGTGTGAATTTGAATTTTTTTTTTACTAGTTTTTTTGTCCACCTCAAAAAAGAAGACAAGGCAAAAAATTATTTTTTCTCCCCCTTCTACTAGATTGGTGCTTCATTTGAGGACCCCAGCAACCCATGTGTCTCCTACTACTGCAATAACACTGGCCTCAGTGCAGTGGTCCAGAACTGCCCAAAGCAGACCTGGTGTGCAGAAGTAAGTCACCTTCTTAACTAATCAACAACAAGATTCACTTCTCATGTTGAACACAAACCCAACCTGTCTTCTTTCTTATTTGAAAAAGTTTGTGTCTCACCAACACATAGATCTCTAATAGATTCCATAGCTTTTTAAACAAATTTATTTCATCCAGAGGCAGAGGATTTCAGATATGTCCACCTTTTATTGTTAAGTATATTTTTCATACCAAGAAAGCCTCATATTTTTCAGGTTCTATAACAATTAATTTGGTGCTATTCTAGAAGACGTTATTATAGAAGGCATTTTGCTATCTTTGTTACACAAACAAAAAAATCCCACCAACTTTTTTTCCCAATAGCTCATGGAATCAGGTTAATCACTGTCTATAAAAATACAAATTTACCATATAATAACATAAATATGTGCTGTTTAGATCTCTTTGTGCCAGTTTTCCTTCATTTCTGTGCCTCCCAAATATAATGAGGTTTTAATATTAATGAATGGTTAAGTTTAAATTATAAAGAGAGGTTGAAATTTAAATTCAGTTCTTTCTGAAAATATAATTGATAATATAAAATTTTATTTTAGAATTCCAATACTGGATTTCAATATCAAGCTTTTATTTTGTTATAATTTTAAGCCTATCAGCATTTCAAAAGTAAAAGGTACAGACCCTAACTGTGAGAAGCATATAGTGTCTAGTAGTAATAGTACTGGTGAAGTATTTTTCAATTAATATGTGAGGAATAATTTATCACATTTTGTCCTTACAAATAATTTAGTTTTAAATATTGTTTTCCTTTTCTACCCATTGTCAGTCTAAATACTCAGTTTCATTTTTATAACTCAGGTCATCGCATTGCTTTCCCACCTCTGCTTACTGGATCGGAGATCAGATTATTCATGTTTTATTTCCCCTTTTGTGATGCTATTTCAATAAATTAAGAAATGCTATATTATTTATAGAAAAAGTTGGGAGAAATTTTCTAGTCTTTCTTTTCTCTTACCCCTACAGGAAGATAGAATCTATGATTCAGGAAAGTGTTGCTATACATGTAAGTAAAGTTGAGCTCCATATAGAGAGGAAATGTAAGCTGTTGATAGAAATTCAATGTGTCTCTAAAACAAAATGACAGAATCAGTAAAATAATGTCTCCTGCATTTTTAACACAACAGGTAATCTAACCTATATATATATAAACTACCAATTGATATTTGTTTATAACATATTATGGTTATTTATTAATGTTGATTGTAGCATTCTTTCCAGTAAAAACCAGTGATGTTTACAAGGAAAAAAATTAATTTTTATGGAAAAAGTTAGCTTGCTCTTCTGATCTCAGCAAGTTGTGTTGTAAGTTGTTGTATCAGATCATAAGGATGATCAGCAGTGAGAAAAATAGATGTAAAAAATAATCCATCTTCCTCTGTTTTCCCTTTTCTTCCACTTTGTCCCTTCTTCCTACTTTGCCCTTCCCCTCTCCTTCACCTGTGATAGTAATAATAGCACTAACAAGACACCATGTGAGTATTAACTAGCCACCTTGTGCTGGGTGCCGAGATAGTTAATCCCCTCAATAACATTGTGAAGTAGTTGCTATTCTTTATGGTTAAGAAAATTGAAGCTTAGCAATTGTTAATGTTAAAACCTCACTTCTGACTCTTACCCATTTTGTTTTAGGTACGAGTGATTGCAGATCTTCACCTATAAATGTGACTGTTCACTACAATGGTTGCAACAAAAGAGTTAAGATGGCAAGATGCATAGGGGAATGCAAAAAGACTGTCACGTGAGTTTTTCTCTGAATTTGTACTATGCATTAACTTCGTAACCTTGTATGTGGGGGGGAAATTAAGCTCTTAAATCATTACATGGAGAAATTTTTATGTGAGAGCAAATGCTGCTTTATGATCAGGGCTTAACGAAATATATCTCTTAAGATCTGAGAATTAAAATACACGTTTTAAATAGTGATGAGTCATTCTGAAGTAGTTTTCTGAATATGTCTAACAATACATTTGTGGCAAATGTGTTCATCTTCATGCAGTGACTACAGAATGTACTTAACCAAGGAAGTGCATTTCTCAAATTTTTTTTTTTTTTTTTTTTTTTGAGAAAGTGTCTTGCTCTGTTGCCTGGGCTAGAGTGCCGTGGCATCAGCCTAGCTCACAGCAACCTCAAACTCCTGGGCTCAAGCGATCCTTCTGCCTCAGCCTCCCGAGTAGGTGGGACTACAGGCACGTGCCACCATGCCCGGCTAATTTTTATATATATATTTTTAGTTGTCCAGATCATTTCTTTCTATTTTTTAGTAGAGCCAGGGTCTCACTCTTGCTCAGGCTGGTCTCGAACTCCTGAGCTTGAGCAATCCGCCCGCCTCGGCCTCCCAGAGTGCTAGGATTACAGGTGTGAGCCACCGTGCCTGGCCCTCAAATTGTTTTTAAACTTGAATTTTAGATGTTTTCCTTTATATACACTTTTGCATATAGATTAATATAGATAATTGCTATGAAATTATATATTTAAAAATTTACCTTGTGTACTTTATTGCACTATAATACTCTGAGATTATAGATTTTTATTTTAGGATTTCTTATTTCTTTTGGTCTTATGTACCAATTATCATTGATCTATGTCAGAAGTTTACAGTGAGGGGGTAGTACAAGGTCTAGGAAAAGAATAAATTGGTTGGAAAGTTTGCTAAGTCACTTAACCAATTAGAGTTTGAGCACCGATGTCGTCTTATTTCAAAGGACATTCTAAAAATATTTATTACTGAATTTTTTTTCTTTTAGGTACAATTATGATACCTTTCAGTTGGAAAATTCATGCCTTTGCTGCCGAGAAGAAAACTATGAGTTCAGAGACATTATTCTTGACTGCCCTGATGGCAGTACAATACCTTACAGATACAGGCACACCACAACCTGTTCTTGTTTAGACATGTGCCACCAATCTACAACCTCAGTGTACAGTTAATGCTAACATTACCTTCCCAGTTCTAACAGGCCAGGTATTTATTTTGTGAGTGAACAAAAACAGTCATTAAATAGTGAGAATAACTAAATATTTGTATCTCACTCAAAAAAAAAAATGAGTTCCCAGTATGAGGCATTGTATTCTCATAATATGTTGACAGAATATGAAAAATAAATATAACTTTGCAAGCAACAAGTGAGCATGTGTATTTATTATAACAATTCTGCAAATCAAGGAGAAACTGAGTCACATCACGACTCTCCAATATACTTTTGTTCTACCCTTCAGTTCCTTAAGACCATTATATTGTTTCATTCCTTCCCTTCACTTATTGAAAATATAGTCTTTGTTCTCTTTTCCCGCTTCTCTATGCCAGTTACATCTCTGCTTTCATCCTCCCACAACTCCCTCCGCTAGCGCACCGGTGACCTCCTTATGTTTCTATCTCTAGGGCTGGACATCATTTCTACTCTTCCTTTCTTGAAATGTTTTTCCTCATTGTTTGTGACATTTTAAGTTAGTGCTCCTACATCTGGTGGACAGCTTTACTTTTGCCAATCCTTTAAGTTTTAGTTTTCCAATGGCATCCTGTTCCTCTTCTCATTTTACTCACTCACTCCTTGGCCGATTTCATCAACCAAGTAGGTGTTGATGTATCACCAACCCCAAACTCTTCTCTGAGCTCCAGACACATTGATACAACTTTGAATTTAACATTTCTCCTTGAATATTCTCTAGGTACCACAAACTCAGGAAGATTAGACTAAATATCATTCTTTCTATAACCTCCTCTGTTTGCATTTAGTATACCAGGGAAGTAGTTAGCCAGAAGTTGAGGTCAACTAACATTATGACTGTCATCTTTAGTACATTCTACTGCTTTGCTGTCTCACATACATATTACTATACATATATATCCAAATGTGCCTTAGATAACATTTACAGAGGTAAAATGTGTACAATTAACACTCTTATCCCCTTTCCAACTTGAAGGTAAACCCAATTTATCACAACCCATTTATGTACTATTCCTCACCTTTCTATATTGCTTAGACTAGTGGTAAGTTTAACTGTCAAACATTGTATATCTAAAGGTGGGGAAGAAAATTAGTATTTTAGTATGCTGATAATTGTACCAAAAGGTAGATGATAAGGCCTTTGATGTTCTTCCATGTCTGTCACTGGTTCCAGGTTTTTCTTCTTAATACACATAAGAGTTGGTCAATTGGCAAAATTATGAGGGGTTGGAATCCTTGAATACAATGGGTGAGGTTATAGGGGTTTTTCAATACCTTTGATGTCGGAGATTGGTAGGTCATAAAGTCAATAATATACCTACATTTTAGCCCTTACTGTGTAAGGATAGGGAAGAAGACTTATGTCCACGAACTGATGACTGAAGTTAACTCATATTGTTTATTGCCTGATTCTCCCATCAAAATCCCTGTTAGGGAAACTCTGGTAAGCATCCACTTATGTTCATGCATGGATCTACTCTGGATTACTCATATAATTTCCCTTTTCTCAGCATTCTCCAATTTTTCTCATGTCCTTGGCTATTTACACAAATTATCTGCTACTTCTCAGAAATCAGGGTAAATCCTGACTTCAGGCCAACCATCTACCAAGCACAATGATCAAAGAGACTTCCCTTACAGCTGTTTTCCATAGCCACTCCTAACAGACTGCAATGCTACATAGTACACTTTTCACTGATACCAGGGCTGTCAGTAATCCAGCTTGGAGTCTTTTTATCCTGTGTCAAATGGTCATAAGTGATTCCCTCCACCAAGAACATGGCATATATCCAGAGAAATGTGGCAGCCAGATAGGTGGTAGCACATTGTGGGCATTAAGAAACCGTATCATGGATCCGACTTGTGCCTTTAAGACCCAAATGGACTCTCCTGTATATATGACTTCTGATCGAGGATAGATTGCTGCTAGGAATGCCTAACTTCATAGCTGTATAGATAAGCTGATGTCAAGTCCAGGGTGAGGTGCTTTAGTTCATGGTCACCTATTACTGAAGTATTGCCAGAAAGCTAGTATTTGTTGAAAGCAGAATAGCTTCTTCAGAAGGTGGTGTGGTCTTGCTCCCAGCCCCCTGAAGCCTCTATTGCTATGATCATATTAGAACTCATCATTGGCTCCATTAAGTTTTATTTTTTTTTGCTACAGGTTATTCTAGAACCACCGGATCAGCACAGATTATGAGTTGAAAATTGAGGCAGCTTTTACAGAAACTTTCATAGTCTGAACTGCTATTTTTTTTTTTTTTTTTGGTCTAAGTCCCTCTAGAGTTAGCAGGTCTTAGATCATCCAGTGAATGGACCTAAAAAGACATCCATGAAGTATTCTGGGTGTTTCCAAAATGCTGTGGGTCTATTTCCTAGAGTAGGTGAACAAAGTGCAACAGCATGGCCTTCACTTTGGAGGTCAGGACCCACTATCTATGTATTATTAAGAGTTAAACTGATTGCAAAAACCCCAAACAATGACTCAAAAAAGAAGTTTATTTCTCTCTCATGCATAACACTGGGTAGGTGATCCAGAACAGGTCTGGCTGTGCCTGTCATCTTCTATCTTGTTGCTTTACCGTCCTCAACATACATATCCTATCTTCCATCTGGATGGCCAATGACAGTTTCCACTATCCCCTACCATCTCCTTTTTATTCCAGCCACCAGGAAAGAGGAATGAGAGAAGGGGAGTGTATGCTTCTTCCCTTAAGGAAAAGACTCAGAAGTTGTATATATACTTCCACCAGCATCCCATTGGCCAGAATTATAGAGCTATAACTGCCTATGGAAGCATGATCAACGATTCCAAAATGAGGGTCTATGTACTGTCTATAGAATAATTATTGGGGATCTTTATAAAATACAGGTTTTTGAACTTTGTCCTCAGGCTAATTTAGTAGATCAGAAAGCAGGGAGACAATATTTTCAAAAAAGTTCTAGGGTCCATATTGTTCAATTTAGTAAAAGAAACATCCAGAAAAACAGCTGCAATTTGAGTCATCATCAGATTAAGTTTGTTGTAAGGGATACTGTGATGCACCACCCAGATTCCCTTTCAAAAATAAAATATTTATTCCCCAGCCATTGAGAGTGCTGCTAGAGGTTGCTTTCAGCTGTCAGCCTTAGGGGGTTGCCTCTGCTAAAGAGGATCACATCCCACAATGTCATTTCCCTCTTCTGAGTCTTGTTGTCCCAACTTGGTCTAAGAACTCCCTACATTAGCTTTTGATTTAAAGTGAGAAAAAAACAAAAACAACAAAAAAAGAACTCCCTATAGGGTTGTCTTAGACTTCTGCTAAAGATGCATAATGCCCTGACTTCTCCCTCTACCTAATCTTGCTTCCTTCCTTCTCTTCCACAAATGTGAATTCCAAGAGCATTCCATAATAAACCTGCTGCACGTAAATCTCCATCTCAGAATCTGCTCCTAGGAAACCCAACCTATGTTGCGTATGGGACTTTAGCATCATTCTCTAGGGCCCAGACTTTTTTGTAGCCTTCAGGTCTGAGAATTGAATGGGGAAGGATGCAGAAATGTGCCTACCTGTGTCTTTCAAGCTTTTGGTGCTGGCTTTGAAATGAGCTAAGTGTATGAACTCTCTTCTACTACCCCATCTTTCATTCCCCTCTGCCTTCCCTTATATAATAAAAGCAATAGCTTATGTGCCAATGGCACCATTTGAGTAGCCTCAAAAGACAACTGGTCATACCATAAAATTAATGAGGTGAAGAAAATTTAATTATCAATACTCAAAATCTAGAATTATAATTTTGTCCAAACAGCTTTAAAACTCAAGATTTCTGACTATTCTCATATCTTTCTCTCTACCTCTAATTCATGCCCCACATACTAGTCACTCTTTTCTGTATCTTCCTTTGTATACTTGGTAGCCCTACACAAACCTTTAACTGCAATTATTTCTAATATTTGTTTCTTGTTATTCCTTTAGAATGTGCATTTTCTGAGGGCAGGAAGGTTGTAGCTCTATTCGATAGCTCTATCCCCAATACCTAGAAGAGGATCTGTCGGATAGTAGATAATTATTAACATTTGTTGAAAAATTGAATGAAGAAATCTAACAAAGAAAACCAGTTAATCCACTCATTTATTTATCTAGGACTATATCCTTCAAACTTTTTTGCAATGAAATATATATCTTGCAGGTTCTTGTCATTGAGTAAAATTGATTACAACTAATTATTATCAAAAGCTCTATTTTAAGAAAACTATTCATGGAAGATTGTTTGCATTCAGTCTGGCCAATTATCATACACCAAATTATAATCTTGGAGTAAATAAATAAGATAATCTCACCAAGTACACTTCTTCTCACTAGAGATGTAGAATATAGAGCAGTTAACAATGCAGACTCTGGAGCCAGATTGCCTTGATACAAATATTGACTCATCCCTATCTACTGCTACATAACTCACTTAACCTCATTTTGTAAAATAACATCTTTAATGAGATATAACTCAATGCCATAAAATTCACTTTTTTAAAGTGTACAATTCAGTGGGTTTTAGCATATTTGCAACATTGTGCAACCATCACCTCTATGTAATTACAGAATATTTTACCACTCCAAAAAGAAACCCCATGCTGATTAACAGCCACTCCCCATTTCCCATCTCCCCTCAGCCCCCGGGAACCTCTAAACTACATTCTTTATCTATAGATTTTTCAATATTAGATATTTTATATGAATGGAATCATACAATATGTGGCCTTTTATGTCTGGCTTCTTTCACTTAGCACAATGTTTACCAGATTTGTCTATGTTATAGTATGTATAAGGTATTTCTTTGTTTTTGATGGTTAAATAATATTCCATTATTTGGATTAGACCAATTTTGTTTACCCATTTATGAATATTTAGGTTTTTTCCATATTTTGGCTATTATGACTAATGCTGCTATGCACATTCATGTAAAAGTGTTTATGTGGATATATATTTTTAATTCTATTGGGTATAT